TTTTCTTTAATTTGTGCCCATCTGTAAGACATGTTGCCTCCCCCTTAATCTGACCTCTGGTTGACCTGATGTTTATCGTTGCTACACTTTCCTAGCTTTGGAAGCTGAAAGACCAAACATTCATAATAAATCAATAGAAATCAGAGAGTGAGTGCTGTTTTACTCGAAGCTCTGCCAAGCAGACAGACATTCTGGTATCTAACCGCCCACTGTGCCGAGCTTTGAAGTTTCATGAGTAAATTCAGTACCAATCTAGCAAGTGGGTTTTCAGGTGAGAGTAGACTCTCGTTTCTGTCGAGAGGGCAGTCTAGACCTCTGGCTGACACTTTGGTTGAGCTTGGTTTTCCATTACTCTCGTGTTTGATCATGTATGAGCAGAAGGGGAAGGCCCTTTCAGGTAATTCTGCCAATAGTGGCTTCACACCACAAGAGTAAAAAAAAAATGGGTTGATTTCCCAAAGAGTTAGGTAGGCAGCTTTTTTATAATACATACTGACACTGAGCGAAAAACCAGCTATTTACAAATAAAGCCCAGCATTTACACAGCATGTCATTTGTCAGTGTCTTCATTGTGCAGGACAAACCAAGCAGAAATCGAGCACTTTTTTATTTTTCAAAGAAATTGTGGCGAGTGTGAGGCAGACGTGCAGGCGGGCATATCTCTGTTTTAATCACTGACACTGAACCACATTCGGTTTTTACATGAAGAGGTCAGGAAGTCACAAAGGGCTGTGCTCTAACTCTCTCTCTCTCTCTTTGTCACACATACACATTCATATACAACACGGCACAACTGTGATAACACAAATGGCTTACTGTGCAGAAAAAAACATTAGTGAAAAAAGCCAGCCTTCTTTTGAGGGGAAATCTGCAACATGTCTTTGTGTCAGGATGTTCTGAAGGCAGCAGTAAGAAAACAAATGTCTTAAGATGAGCTAAATTATCAGCTTTTTTAAAGGGCACATATTGATATATACCTACATGCAGTTCACTTCACTTACTTGCAATAGTATAAAAGCCACATTTTTTTCTAGCAACCCAAATAACTTCCAGCAACTATGTCACAATATCAAAAAGTGTTTCCAACAGTAGTTGAGTTTCAGCGACTGTCTCTCTACAGTATGTCACTCTGACATTAACGGTGTAGTTCTCACCCTCATAGAGTGAGCATAGTTTTTATTTAAACAGAGAAGATAAAGCCTCAGAATGCAGCGGGGCAGGTTTTGTCTTTGTCTCTCACTTCATAAATATACCAGAACGGCTTCTGTGTTTGCTTCTCTCATGCCCTTAACTAGTCCTCACCCTGTAAATGTTCTTTGCTTGACAGTTAAAGTAGTTAATGTGTAGGCGTTTACAGTAGGAGTCTTGTACCCCCTCGGAAACTTGTGATGCTACTGGATTGGCAGGGTCTAGTCACTGTGAGCTCTTTGCATTCTCGTCGTCTTTTTTCCTCAGTATTTTCACTCTTTTGAGTTTCCTTATAGAAAGCTACATTTCCTAAATTCAATGAAACTCCACATTCAAAGTTACAAAAAGGACTTCCGACACTTTCTGTGCACAAATATGATCCATGGCCTTTGCATAAATCAATTTTTGGAAACAATTTGATTCTGTCCTGAAGAAATATGAAAGTTAAAAAACATTTCATTGGTTTTGCAACTTTGTCCCTGAAGGAAAGATTTCACATCTTTCGGTTTGAGTTATTATTCTGGACTGCTGCTTTCAGACTTGGACTGCTACCGTATTCCCTCTCATGACATTAACATTACATTATATTTTGTTTCCTGATCAAGCTGTTGTTGGTCAGTCTTTTGTTCAACCCGCTCCCACTTTAATTAATATCTCTTTTCATTTAAAGATCCTTAAAGCTTTTGCTTGAAAAGGTTGTTATTCTTTACTGTATTTGTCTGCTTGTACACACACATACACACACCATCCCGCCTCGTCAGTACAGTAGCTTGCCAGACCTGCCTGCCAGTTAGCCGTTGGCCTTTTGTTATTATGTCATGACTGAGGCAATAGCTGATAGAAAGCACTCCTACACGTTATACTTTTACCTGGAAGACAAGTTTTGACAAGTGGAAATCTGAGAACTGGCAGGAGACACCGGCATACATGTCACGCACGTGCTCACACACACACGCACAGACATCTTTGCAAACACAAAACTCACTGCATAAACCTTACTAATCATCTGTCACTTTTTACAATGTCTGACAGGCTGTTTGCCCACACAGCACTCACGGATACAAACATGTTGTATTCAATGGATTTTCTTCAACAGCGCTTTACCCAGGAAACAAGTTACAGTACAAACTTGTTTTCACCTTTGATTACGACATGATTTAAGCACTTTGGTTTAACTGCCCACTGCAGCCGCCTACCTTTTTTACTCTCTAATATAGTCTTTAATAGCCTGCTGAGTACAGAGCATGAATGTTCTAACACAAGGGTTTTTTCTTGAAGGCTCTGGGGTGCAGTTTGATTTCTGGAAGGGGTCTTGGAACTCGCTCTATGTAACCCCTTTTCACTTGATCTCTTTCGCCCTTTAGCTCTCTCTCCCACTAGATTTCTTTCTCCTTATGATAACTGGATGCCAACCAGAACACAAGTCGCTACACTGCTTCATCTATTTTAGTTTCGGATTGAATGGCAACTGGCCAACAAATGGAAAAATAACCAGGTTTCTCTGGTTATTAATAGTCAGCGTATTCCCCCTCTGCTGCTTCCAAGACAGTGGCTGCAACCTGCGAACACACACACACACACACACACACACACACACACACACACACACACACACACACACACACACACACACACACTAACTCTTTCTTTCTCTTGTTCTGAAACAATGTCACAGTCGGTGCGAATTTTAAGTGGATCCCCTACTTATTTTTGTTGCCACGGTCGAACAAGTAAAAAGGAAACAATAAGTAGAGAGAAGAGGATGTTTGCTGCACTGGGATGTTTTGCCAAGTAATTTGGAGCCATTTCAAGCCCTACCTGGTGCTGCTGTGCCATCCGACTATTGCTATTTTAGTTACGTATTGTTGCATAATTCATCGAATTCTTTGTTACATATCTTTCCAAATCAGGCACTCGAGGTTGATTAGAGGAGGTTTATTTTGAGACTCGTGTTGGTTACAAAAGGTTGGCAGGCAAGGCGGTTCAGTGTACAGACCTTTTACTTAAATAATTATTTATATCCTAGTTTGTCCTTTTCAGAGTGTCTTTAGTTTAAATCAAGGTCAGGATCCAAGCATGGCTTCCTCCTTTTTTTTTTTTTTTTAAATGAAAGAAGCGTGGGAATGTTTCCAGTATTGAATTTCAGAAAGACATATGGGACGCAGACTTCACTCCCAAGAAAAAGTATTCTGCCTTTACATTTTGCATGAGAGAACTTTTAATTAAACCAGAACGAAAATCATAATATTTTTAGGATAAGTCTGGTTTATTTCCTGCTTTTCGTCCTTTCATAAAGTCTTACTGACAAAAATCATGGCAGTATCCAAACCCTGGTGATTTGTATTCCTCTGTGCCACAGAGCTCCAGTGTGGACAATAAACTGTGAAAAAACACCTAAATCAACCATACAGAAGCACTGTATTGGTTCCTTCATTACGCTGAACATTGGCATTGGTTCCTCAGACACCATCCTGCTGAATCTTTTTAATGTGTATTTTCAGTAGGACAATTGGGATTAAGGTTTGGTACTACATCGAAAGCTACATATCTTGCCAAAATGTACCTTATCAACTAGATCTTCTACTGATGTATTCATCACCAAACAACTTTGCACAAACGTTCCCTGATTAGAGCACGGTTTGCTTACGTGTGGACTGTAGTAACCTCTGATGATTGGACTTTGACAACCTCGACTCATTCCTCTCTCCAATAATGTGTTACCAACTAAGTTAGTTATTAGAAAGATTAAAGAGCTTTCATTCATTTATATCAACAAATAACTGAATATATAGAGTGGGCTGTGTGGTTAAAAAACAAGTTTCCAAGACTTTCTAAATGTTGATTAAGCTAATTTTCGATATTAGGATTTCTCTGAACAGAAGAAGAGTATGATGCTAGTGACATTCTTCTTCCTATGAAAATCCCATGAAAACTCCTAAATCAACAATAAATTGATTTAACAGTATTTTCTGTGGATCAAAAACTATTCAAACATATCAGTGAACCACACAAGTGCCCCGGCTGACTTGCTCCTTCATTATGATGAACCTGGGTGTCATTTTTTGTCAATCCAAGTATTGTCCTGCTGCTATAAAGACTTGCCTTTGCACCAAATCCACAGCAAGAAATAGTGTCCAATTTTTACATTTATTATTTAGCCTACTGTTCAACCAAACTTTAAACATCTGAACTGTTTCCAAAGATTTACAAATAAGAATAAAATCACTAAGCGTTAAAAGGTTCAATGTTTCAGCAATTTTCCACGCAACCACAAATCCTAAATAACAATCGGTAACACATTTCAACATTCAGATGCAACAGTCTGTCCCTCTTTAAAAGCTAGACTGAGGCTCAAACTGTCCTCCTCTCTGTGTCCTTTGTTGGGCAATCACATGGCGAGCCACCCAAACATCAGCAGCAGGAGAAGATGTTTTGAGGAGAAAAAGACTTTCCTCAGTGCCAGAGTTCGCTGTGACACAATCCACCTCCCTGTTTACCAGATAACAAACTCACTGCAGGAACACACTCCTGATGGTTTGGATTGGGTGTGAATGCATGGGTATGATTTGCGCTTTTTCAAACAACTTATTTTATCATTAACACTATGTTCAACGCAGCATGTCTATATATTTATTGTCATCTCCTCTGATTCCCTTATCTTCTTCATCTCATTCGTTCTCTCCAAGTGTTCCTCTTCCTCCCCTCCCCTCTCTTGTTCTTTAAGAGTTGTTTTCTTTTAACAAGGCCACATATGGTCTACAAAGCATATTGCATCAGCAGCTGTCCCTTCACTGCTTCCTCTCTCTCCGCAGCAGACATGGTGGACACGCAGCAACTCCTCTCCTGGCCTGTTAGTTTCAGTCTGAGCGCCGTGGACCTGTCAGAGCTGGACGACAGCTCCCACTCCCTTGACATGAAGCATTTGTCCACGTTAGACTACGCCTCCATCTCCTCCTCCTCCATCCAGTCCTCCCTGTCTCCCCCGCTCGTATCCTCCATCTCCTCTGCCGGTGGGGCCTATGACCCCAGCCCGCCGCAACACGAAGAACTACTGACCAACATGGACTACACAAACATGCACAGCTACAGGATGGAGGCTGACACGCACAGTGAGTACAGTCTGTGTAGTGAACCAGGGATAATACAAATCATCCAGTTTCTTCATGCTTATTAAATGCTAATAAAGCTTAGCAGCACAATTCACTTGCAGAAGTTTCAGAAACTGAGTGGGCATAAAAAGGTTTTAATGTGAAAACACTTGCAATACACATAACAGGCACAACATTTACAGAGTTTGTGAAAATATTCATTTGTATCTGTGCTTAAACATGAGAACAGTGATGGCCAATATAGTGCTATGTTTAAATAGCACCAAACATGAATATTGAAATAAGTAATGAAGTTTACATTTTCCGTTTGTCTGCCTACTTTTTTTTTTGCTGTCAGATTTGATAAAGCTTGAGCCGGAGTCGCCGCCGCAGTACTCCGACATTCCCGTGTTCTCCAAGCTCACGGACGAAACGTCGGCGTCAGCGCTAAACATCGAGTGTCGTGTGTGTGGAGACAAAGCTTCGGGGTTTCACTATGGCGTCCACGCCTGTGAGGGCTGTAAGGTAGGACTGAAATAAATCAGATGTACACATGAAAATGAGATGTATAAACAAGTGTTTAAAACAGTTGATTACATCATACTATGGTGGCAACTAGCAACTATATTGATTCTCAAATAATCTGTAGATTATTTCACAATTAAACAGGTTCCCTTTGATTTGTTATGTAGTTCAACTGCAAAAATTCTCTATACTAAAAGAAAAAGAAATGTGCCATTCTGTCGACTTCAGCTCAATATTCTACTTCACACTGAGCAGACTTCCTCTTTGCTTTTCGAGGCTAAAGATATCTCCTACTTGAGAATATATTATACAGTATGTCAGGGTCATTTTACTGTTAGCATAGCTTGACTGTCAGAATTGATGTTAAGTTTTCAAAGGAATTGTTTGGACAAAACCATCACTTTGTAGTCTTTATTTCTTCCTTTCCATAGAAATTCTGGCTAGATGCATATTATGGCTTATATTGTAGTGCACAGCAGTGGACAGATGCTCTCAATGCGCACAATGAAAAAAAGAATGCCCCCCTATATTTTCTTTTATGCCAGGAATTTGCTTAGCTTGTAACGAATTTGACTGCAGATGGTTAAGTTTTGTTTCTATGCCAGTCTTTCATTTTCTGTCACCATGTGTCACTCTCGGGTGAAACGTGTTGATGGAATAAATAATTCTGTAATGCATTTTTTTCCTCTTTTTGAAGTCTGACAATCTAACCACAAGCCCCATACACTTTCCACTCTGCGCGGGCTCAGCACAGGCTTTTGCTTCTGCAGCCCATAAGCTCTGTGTGTGTTGTCTGTCAGGGTATAAATAACTAATAGAGTGTGGGGGAAGTTTCACACATATTTCCACTTTCTTTGAAACTGAGGGGTAATAAGAAGAAGAGCTATTGTATGGTGACATGTTAGACAAAATTACTCAGTATGCTTTTCTTTTGTTTAGTTTCAAGAAGTCTTTGAGTTTTCAAGAAGACTGAATTTATTCAGATAAGTTGGTATTAAAGCTACTATACACACTGTGTTTCTTTCAACCTTCAAACTTTGTTTGCAGTATTAGAAAACTCACCTCTAAACCTAAGAGTTTTAAAAGAAAAATGTATATTTGGTCCAATTAGATGACTTAATACACATTTCGATGTAGCATTCATTATTGACATAATATTAATAAAAAGGTTCACAATGAAACCATCACAAAACCTTGACAGGCACCACTTTATGAAGTAACTCAACTTCAAAGTACTGTCTGTGCAGCCAAAGCCTGATATATCTAATCCCTCCAAAGATTGTTAGAAACACACCAGTGAACCAGTGATGTTCTTTATTACCAAGAACACTGGCACTGAGGTTTATTTTGATATCACATACGCATAAACAACAAGCAATAAGACTCCCTCCAACAATTAATTTTTTATTATATACAAATAAAATCATGCTGGTGACAAAAAACAAGAGTCTATGACATAAAATAAGAAAAATCAGTTTCAGTTTATGAGATTGTTATGCGAGATGTTAACACTGATATGTGAGATAACATGCCAATTTTTCAGATCAATTAAAGAAAGAAAAAATGGTGGGGGTATTTATTTGTGTTTATGTATGACCTCAGAGATGTGGGCACTACACTCTTCCCTTGGCCAGCTTCGCTATATTTTAACTTTTTCCTGTGTGAATGAATACGTACCTTGCAGAGCCTTGACCTTATGTTCTAAATGTATATGCGTAATGAGGAATAAATAGGTTTTTAAAACTTATATACACACACATAGTTTTTGGGTGTTTGCTTATTAAACTATCTAACAAATACAATACAAATACATTATTAACACTACATTTGACATGGCAGGAAGTGGAGAAGTTGAGAAACAGGATAACTCATTGTTGGTTTTGTTTGGTTCATTGGTTTGTTGAAAATAAGTGAAATACAGAATGTATCTAGGCTTATTATACAATAATACTATAAACAACCACTAAGCCCTGACTGTGACCATAGGCATGAACCAGCACCTAGCTGACACTGTCAGGACTGTTAGATTTAATACAAGACCCAAGGCTCTTAGTCTCAGTCACACTGTACCTCAGAGGCTGGGTACAGCGGCCATTGTTCTGCTCGAGTCCCAGGGGAGACTCACCAGAAGAGGGGGTCAGCCAAGCAGGCAAACACTTAATTGTTTCACAACAGCAAACATTCTTTATTGAGGTGGAGCCTTGACCCCCTTTGACTTCCTTCTTCTTTAAATAACCTACAAATAAAAGAGGAACATCTGTGGATCATAGGAATGCAGATGCCAAACACCCCAGCTTTCTCGTATTTGAATCAAAGAAGCATACAATTCAATTATGCTTGTAAAGCCCTCAGGTTTTTCTATTCATCCCTCCATTTACTCTCTTAGTCAGTGTAGACAAACACCACAGCCGTCAATAAACCTGTGTGTAGGAGTGTGTTGGCAGGTTGACCATTGCTACATAGTTACTAGCTGAGATAAGCTCGAGTCTTATGGCTCCTTTGGTCCTAAGGTTGAAAACACACAAATCCACCCTGAAACACAATCTGCTTTAAAACACACTCGTGGGCAGAGTGATTGACTTCCTCGCAGATTAGAAACAGCCAGGTATCTAATCTGCATCTATCAGCCAATAGATGCTCTGTGGAGCGCCTACACAAACCACAAACTTAAATCAGATGATGCTTTATTGTTGTGTATAATTAAGGCGCACGCAATGCTAGGAAAAACATTGTTCTTTACCTATCTCTATTCATGTCTTATTTGCCATCAAAAATAGTCTATTCATCCAATCTTTTAAAGAATTTTTCTCCGACTCAGTTCTATTAAAAGCAGCAAAATTAACAAAGAACAAATGCTTAACAAAGTGTGATATCTTTAGTGAAACTATCTGAACTAATTGTCTCTCTTCTCTTTCCTCTAGGGTTTCTTCAGACGGACTATCAGGTTAAAGTTGGTGTACGATCATTGTGATCTTCACTGTCGCATTCACAAGAAGTCCCGCAACAAATGCCAATACTGTCGCTTCCAGAAGTGCCTCAATGTCGGCATGTCACACAACGGTAAGATGTTCATACTGACACACACCTTACACCTCAGTGTTTAATCACAGTATGTACGATGTGCTTGATCCGTATGGAGATAAACAAACAAAGCTTAACTACGAGAAGAGATCTAAAGTTCAGGTTCTGTACATTCAGGTGTTTTTATTTTCTAGCACCCTCATTTACGCTCATTATAAATAAGGAGACGTAGCTCAAAAAGCAAGATCTTCTTTGAAATTGTGTCTCAGGAAACATCTTCTTGCAGACCAACTCCTTTGATGCCCTCTAAAAGCGAGAGATACACTTTCACCACACTGCTGCCCATTTTGGTCTTTGAGGTGTGTTGGTAATATATGCAGCATCACCACTGCTGTATATGTTGCTTCCGCTGTGGCTTTCGACCCGTATCGTATGATTCAGTTCCCAGCACTCTTGCCATGTACCTGCCAGCCCAAAGGCATTATTGAAAATGAAATACGGTAAAGGCTAACTGTTCTAGTTAATGTGCAGTTTCTCTGAACATATTATCGTCACAGTATTAAATAGTGTGGTGAATTTGCCAGAATTTGCCAGGATAAAATGCCTTTTTGTATTTGTTCCCCAACAAATATTTCTCCTTAAAATACCATAAGATTTCAATTCAAACATTTTCCTTAAATACTTTTATAAGCTTAAAAAAGAGCTACAGTACAGCTTGACATTCACAAACAATTGCTATGATCATTTTTAAATGATTATAAAACAGGTTTCCACACAAACTGATAACATAATTTGTAAATTTGTCCAATCAAATGAAATGAGCACATCCACATCTCAAAGTGAGCCATTGTACACCGACATGTTTTCATCTATAAACTCCAGATCAGGGTAGAGATGCACAGAATACAGCCTCAGTCCTAGTAACTGCACAACAGGATGGTAACACAGTTCATTTGTTTGAACTTATTTTAACTTTGCCCTCTGCACTGCCTGACAAGCTGACGTTTTCAGACAACATCACCCTGTCAGTTCAAGAGAAATCACATACTGTACATACAACTCGTTTATTTGCCATCATTGTGACAGTGCACTTGTAGTTTAGTTTTGTTAGCATTTGATGGCCACTGAAGCACATTGACTGGCACGACTGTAGCATGTTTTGATATGAAGGACTGGGCCTCTGCAGGTGAGTTTCAACACAGACCTGCGACTGTGTGGGCGTGCACAGGTTGCACTTGATTGACCTGACTCTCCCAGACTGAACCTGTTAGGGAGGGACAACTTGAAACTTTCCCTCTTTTGATATATGAACTTCATGACCTATGAAAATTCTGAGCATAGTGGGGCTCAATTTAAATCTTAAAGTCTGTAAGTAAAAGGGTGGGAGAACCCTTTTGGTGGGGACCCTCCTATTTCCTTACTGCTGCTTGACTCTTGCAGCCTGTCTGAGATTGTTTTCATGGAGTGCGTTAGTTTTGAGAAAGGGCTTTCCAGTTAGAGCTTTTTATAAGGAGTTTTTGGTAGTTTGATCCCTAATGTTAGCCATGAATTGCTTTTGCTTGTAGGGAGGTATTATCTCATCTCATGGTGGTGGTAATACTGCATTGTTTGCTTCCTCGGGCAAACATGTTAGTGTGTTTGTCTTTCAAGCTGACCTTAAGGATAGGTGACTGGTCCACATTTCAAAGGCTTACACACTGTCAGGCTGTGTGGGCGTTATAATCTGCATATACAGCTCCACAATGGATGTTAATCCACACATTGTCAGCCCAGTTTAGCACGTTATTTCTAGTTTAAATATACAGTTTGTTGGTTGAATACAGATTATGCATTCTTAAAGGTAGGGTAGGTAATTTTGGAGAAACCAGCTCGAGTGCGCTAGAATTTGAAAATACACAGCCGGAAAAAATCGGCCACTTCCTTACAGAGCCCCTCCTCCAACACACACGAACGCGCACATGACCAATGAGGGCACGAGATAAGTTTGTGCACAGATGGAAGGCTGACAGGCAGGTAGGCCATCCAGTTATTTTAGCGGGGCCGGCTAAAATGATTGGTCGTGCTTTTTACAGTATTACTGCTTCCACAGATGACATTTTTTTATGGATTTTTTGTCAAAGCACTTAAGATATTCATTGCTATCGGGATGTTAAGAGCATTCCATGGAATATAACAAAAAGTGTATCTCGAGCCGGTTTCTCAAACTTACCTACCCCACCTTTAACTAAGACACTTGCTTTGCATCTAAAGTGAGCATATTTTTTCCCCCATATTTGATCCTATTCTATATTCTAGATGGAAATGTATTTTTCTACATGAATGGGTTAAACTGCTATAATAGGATAATAGGTTCATACTAGAAACTACATTAGTAGTACCTGCCGCTTTATCTCTCCCCTCCTTCTCTTATATCACGCTACTGTTATTTCATAAGGCACAGCCGGTTCTTTGAAAGTTTGCTCTGTGTGGGTTTTTAATTTATCAATGATTGTCATCTCAGAGTACATAGACCATAACTGATTTCTCCAAGCTGCTGTGTCACCGCTGTGGGCTGGTTGCCAGTTTGTGGTAGGGCAACTTTAGTTTGTATTCATTTGCTTAAGGTGTGCTTTCATCGCACAGTCAGCATTACACAATCACATAGCATTAGAAGCTGGGCACGGGTTTCAATGGAAGATAATTAATGACTTTCTCCAACAGTAAAAAAAGAGTTTAACCATTTCACAACTTAGTATCAAATGTCCGTTGGTAATATAATAAAATGTTTTCCCTACATCTTATTTAAGATCTATATTATATACCTACTATATTTAGCAACTTGAATAAACAATTTTAAACTTAAGTAATGGAAATCAATTTGTTAATTTGTGTTAAAAGGTATTGTGTTTTCACTGAAAGAAATGGAGACACTTGAAACCGAACCTTAAAACGTTTTTAAAGTAAGTGATCCGGTAATACCAATGTCAAGTTATGAAAACAATAACATTTCAAACAGCATTTTAGGCCAACTGTCAGCTGATTTAACACCATAAAATAGGTCCTAAAGTAAATAAATGTTTCCATATCTTTCACAAAAACAACCTATCCACTTTGAAATGGACCTGGCTCTGTTATGAGTTATTTGTAAATGCTCAATGTAATAAAACCTGCCGCAACAGCTGGAAAAAGGGAGGAAAAAGAGACTTGTGTAAATATGTAAGATCGTTTTTCAGGTTTTTTAATGAGCTGTGTAAACATCATAACCAATAAATAATACACAAGCCTATTATTAAAGAGAAGAACATATAATAAGTGCTTGATCCGACACGCCTCATAAAATCACAGGAGGAACAGTTACCAATGAATGAGCTGCAACTAGAGAAGTTGTCTGAGCAGTAGTTGCATGTCAATTCAATTCAGAAAGCTTTGATTTCCCTGTGATTCCCTACAAACGTATAGACATTTCACCCATCTGAAATCAGTCTCTCCATATATTAATGCCATTTATTGTATAACAAGTTGTTTGTTTGCTGTAGATAGCAGGTCATTTTGTGGACATTAGCTGGTCGATCTGGTTCATTGATCACTGTCCAAACATACGAGATGTGATAAAGAAATTAAACAACCATGGCGGCAACCATGTATATCTATACTTTAGTGTATACATTCATTCCAACACCACATTAGCAGCTTAACAGCCAGTGTTGCAGGAGCTTTGCCTGCATTTTAGAGATCACGCTAAATGGCTTTGGAATGCTAAACTTTGTGAGTGGATTTTGTGAGCATGGCATACAGTAACATGTTTTTGAGTTGACTGTTAAATGTAGACTGTTCGTTTTGGATAATTTTCTGGTTTTGGATAATTTGACAGCAGGAAGAAAAACACTAAGGGTTTGTTGGCTTAACTTAAAATATTAAGAAAAGTGTTGAGAAATGTCAAAAGGTGGCTGCATGTAACATTTAGTTTGTTATGTACAAATGTGTGTTTATCTGTATTATTATTCTTGTTTACAGTGTGTTTCTGTGTGTGCTCTTATATCCTGTGTCTACGTGTGTCCATTTGTGCGCTAACGTGTGTTTCCGTCTGTCGGTTTTCTTCCCCAGCCATTCGCTTTGGCCGGATGCCTCAGGCGGAGAAGGAGAAACTTCTAGCTGAGTTCTCCTCTGACATGGTGCACATGCACCCGGAGGCGGCTGATCTTAGGGCTCTGGCCCGGCATCTGTACGAGGCCTATCTGAAAAACTTCCCCCTCACCAAGGCCAAGGCCAGGGCCATCCTCTCTGGAAAGACCGGAGACAACGCGGTAAGCACCACTGCCTTAAATCTATTTAGCTTCTTCTTTTTTTAAAGGTGGGGGAGTGCTGCATATCGCCTGCATAAGCCAAATACCTTTTATTGAATCTTCTACTGGAGGAGCGCTTTGGTAGCCAAGTGGTTACAGCACATGCCATTTAACCGCAGCGGTTTCTATTCCAGCCTCGGGTCCTTTGTTGCTCGTCACTCTCACTCTCTCCCCAGTTTCTAGATCTGTCAGGTCAGATAAAAGCAGAAATGGCAACAAAAAAAGGTCTGGGAAATATCATAAGAAACACATTTGTACATTTATACTGTCCATGATGACAAAAAGACAGACGGAATTTAATACTATATAATTTCCAAAATATAGGTCATAAAAAACTATTCTTAACTATGAAAAATGTATCTTCACTTACACATTAATTATATCACAAAATGACCAAAATTCTCTCCCATGTGCAGCTTTAAGTTTTACATGAATCAAGCCGATCGATGAGAAAAAATAATACATGTTTGACGTGAAGAAGTAGCTTTTTACTTCAAATAGTTCAAGGTTTTTTGCCTTGCTCCCTTTATATCACATTAGGTCTTTTCAGGCTGTTAATGCTACTCAAACAGGAACAGTGGATTGACTGCTTTTACATGCCTTGGCTGTTATCAAACACATCAGATTACAGCGGTCAAGCTATGCAACAGGATATATACAGTAATGACTTCAACATGGCTACTCAACATGTCAAACTAATTTATTAAGACATTTGGTAATTTAGACAAGTGGACTGTAGGAAAACATGTTGGACAAAAGAATGAAAATGTGAGATATCATCTGTATTAGCTCGTAAGGTTTTGCAATATGAAATCTCAGTATTCTAAGGAGACCTAATCAGCAAATCCACATCAACTTAAATGCAAGTGGCAGACAGAAAACTGTGGTGTATATTTATTAATGATCAACAGTGTGTTTCTGATGATGACTTTAGTCTTGTATTTCATCTCAGAAATACTGTCATGATACCGTTATTAAACGTATGTTTTAAATAAGGTCTTCCTTTGAAAGTATTTTAATATAAATGTCATTAAGTACTGTTCATCAGTGCAGTGAGGTGTAGTTGAAATCTGAGAACACTTTAGTCTAAGCTGACCAACCGTAACTATTAAGTAAATGCAGTGAGTCAAATGGCCAGCAGCTTTTGATTGGTGCAACTTAGCAGTGAATAAAACACTTATAAATACATTACCATTTCATTCATAAAGTTTGGATTTGAATAGTGTGACTGCAAATGCAAAATGTCAAATGCAGATATATTGCCCTCAAAATGAATTATAATTATTACTGTTAGAGTTTTTTTTATCTTTCCTCTTTTTATTCCTGTTGTTTCCTCTCCCAGTGAAGTCAGATGAGTTCATGGTCACTCCGCCTCTCTGCAGTCGGATTGTTTTGACTGTTCACTTCAGCGATAGCAGCCACATGGCACTGCATAATCTGTTGGTTTGAGGAAGTCTTGGTTTGTTTACTAAACCACAGTCAATAATTATCTCTTTAGTCAAATATTTACATTTGTTTACGTGTGCGGCCTTGATACGAGTAGATTTTTTTAAATCAACATTTAACTCCAGCTGCACCATTAGAAATATAGCAACTAAACCGTTTTTACATTTCTTAACTAAATACTTACTTACTAAATGTCTTTTTTTATCTGGCAACATCTAGCTTAAGTTAGCTACCATTAGTCAACTTGGACAACTGCTCACCAAGTACAGTATGTGGCAGCCACAAGGAGCAAGGGTTAGTTTTAACCAATACATAGGAATTCAACCTCTGTATTGTTAGAGAATAAATGGGTTTTTTCTTTTTCAAGAAACCAGTGATTTGTTTCAAATCGGGGCCCTGTAATAGCTGATTACTGCACAAGCATCACATACTGTATATATATCTGATTGCATCACATTATTTGTTTGCTGTAATTCCCTTTTCTATGTCTTACATTTTTCACCTCTTGAAAAGGAAGATTTAAGTATTTGAAAGGTACTCTTCATCATTCAGGCCGGTGCATGTCTTTGCCAGTGTTTCAATAAAGAGTAAGAGCAACTTTAACTTAGTTATGCTTCATTTACCTGGAAATGTTGTTTTTGTCTGCAGCAAAGATGTATTTGCTTTGTCCGTCGGATGTATGAGATGTGTAGTGTTTGCTTTTTCTGTTCTGATGAATGAGCCATGATCAAAGTGCACACACAGTGCATTACATAGCTCACGTGTCCTCAGAAAACCTGCAAGGAGCTGCTCTTTCATCTATGTGTTCCTTTTCCACCGGCTCTTTCTCACCTCCAATCGTCTCTCTTCTTATTTCTCTACCTGCAGCCTTTTGTCATCCATGACATGAAGTCTCTAATGGAAGGAGAACAGTTTATTAATTGTAGGCAGATCCCCTTAAAGGAACACCACCACCACCACCAGCAGCAGCAGACCTCCGCCCTAACAGCTGGACTTGGAGGTTAGAAACACAATAACGTCATTATGTGGAGATGTTTGAAAGTCTGTTTTTGTATAATTTTCTTTCTTATCACTAAATATCTATCAAACCCAATAATTAAAATGTACTCTAACAATGTTACCTTCCTTGTTTAAATGCCTTCACACTTTGGCTGCTCTTTGCACATTCAACTGAAACGCCTCATAAGGGACTAAAGTTTCTTTCTGTGCATATCTCATCTGAATCCTGGCATCACAGGAGCTCACCAGGGGTCAGAGTATGGCTTTCTTGGAATGACGAGCATCAGCGAAGAGGGACCCCAAGACGCTTTGGAGCTGCGTTTTTTCCACAGCTGTCAGTCACGTTCGGCCGAAGCAGTGAGAGAAATTACGGAGTTTGCAAAGAGTATCCCAGGGTTCAGCGAACTGGACCTCAATGATCAGGTGAGAAACATGAAGACTGCTGCTAATCCATTCTGTCAACATGTGAAGTGTCTTACAAACTATCAATTCTAAAGATCTAATGAGCATCAACCCTTCACCCTTTCCCAGGTAACTTTGCTGAAGTACGGTGTCATTGAGGTCCTAATCATCATGATGGCGCCTCTGATGAACAAAGACGGGACCTTGATCTCCTACGGACAGATCTTCATGACGCGGGAGTTCCTCAAGAGCCTCAGGAAACCTTTCAGTCAAATGATGGAGCCCAAGTTTGAGTTCTCAGTCAAGTTCAACATGCTGGAGCTGGACGACAGCGAAATGGCGCTGTTTCTGGCTGTCATCATCCTCAGCGGGGGTGAGTGGTGTTCCTACAGGATATGTCATAGATCATAGGAGAGGAGTTTAGAGGTTTCATTTGATCCCATACTCAAGTCTGTCATTTAACATGGAGCTGCAGCCATGATAGATAGAATAGAATCGGAGGGATGAAACCCCTCTTTAATGGTCACACATGCAGAGCACACAGCACACACAGTGACATTTTGCCTCTGCATTTAACCCGTCCTAGTACCATGAGTCTAGTACTAGGAGCAGTGGGCAGCTATTGTACAGCGCCCGGGGAGCAATGGGAGTGGGGGGGAAGGGGGTTGTCCGGTGCCTTGCTCAAGGGCACCACGGCAGGGCCCAGGAGGTGAACTGGGACCTCTCCAAGTAGCAGTCCACACTCCATATTTAGGTCTGTTCGGGGACTTGAACCGGCGACCCTACGACTCACAGTCCAAGCCCGACTGACTGAGCCACTGCCGGACGAGAGAGAGTTGTAATAAGTTACATATTAGCATTACAGTCTTTATATTAAATGTTATCAGTGGAATAAAAAGTTATTTAATGATTGTTTCACTGTGGTTACATTGTAAAACACAAATAAATGCACACACACCTCTGCACATTTAAAATGTTGCATGTCAATAAAACTGACAGACCAGTTGCAGCACACAGCGGAGAACATTAAAACACTGATACTGATCAACGAGGCATAACGTTATTTACACTCTCATAACTTATCAATATTTTTTAGGAACTAATGGTTTAAAATGTAAACTTTTGTATGCGTGTGTAACAGCAAAGCGACCTCCCTCACACCCTTTGTGGTTTGTTATTACTGGTTAGCGTGAGGCCATTTGATAAAAGTCTGGCCTTGAACCTAATGAGGGAAAACAATCGGACATTCATGTCAATTATTTATAGAAATTACAAAGATTATAGCTTGCAATAAAGATAAGAAGGCTTTGTAAATAGCAATAATACAGCTAGGTCAGATAATAAGGGTCAGCTAAATTAAGGGCTTTAATAGATACTTAATCAGTCACCAGTATATCCCTGATGTATCCTCTCTGTAACGCATGTAGACCGCCCGGGCCTGCTGAACGTGAAGCCCATCGAGCAGCTTCAGGAGACGGTGCTCCACTCTCTGGAGCTGCAGCTGAAGCTGAACCACCCCATCTCTCTGCAGCTGTTCGCCAAGCTGCTGCAGAAGATGACCGACCTGCGTCAGATCGTCACCGACCACGTGCACCTCATACAGCTGCTGAAGAAGACGGAGGTGGACATGTGCTTACACCCTCTGCTGCAGGAGATCATGAAGGACTTGTATTAGAACTCCACAGGAGAAAAAAGGACCAAGTGGAGAAAGAGAAATAAAAGAGAGATTAAAGAGATTTTATTCTTAAAATCATGACTTGTGAAATGATGACGATGTGTTGAAATAAAGGGAGGTAGCCAGGCTGGATGACTGAAATTGAGAAAGATATGAGGAAGAACAGGACATTTGAAATTAAGGAAAGAAAGACAAATTGTCTAGACAGCAGCATGTGAGTTGAGCGATTGCTGATTCTGGACATTTTGTGAACGAGTAGGGTGCCAAGTTAAATACCAAACTGCCACCTATTGCACCTATTACTAACTTTCTTTTTGGCAACCCAAAGCTTAAATGGTGAATGCGCAAAGCAGCCTGCTTCAAGTGCCTTCAGGAGAAATCACTGTGAATATTCTTACACCACGTGTCACATAGTGGAGTATGTGTTGTTCGTGTGCAGCTTATCTACATGTTGCGTTACAACCTTCCTAGGCAGCAGCAGTGTGTACATGCTCCGAAGCCTCTGAACGCACACAAAACAATGCACAGAGTCCTTTTTGTTTGTGGCATCAGGGTGAGGGTGCTATCTTTTTTAATCAGCTTTATCCAAAGAAAGAAATCAGATTAATGCCTGTAACATATTTTTGTCTCAGCCACCTGCAGAAACTGTGAGAAAGTATGAAGCTAACAAGGCACATTACCTTTTTTGTTTGCTAAGAAACAGTATATGCCATATTGTGCCTCTAAGATTTGATGTTTGACATATTTCTTGTGGATTGAATGCAATTTAAAAATGATATATTAAGCATGTATAATGTATATTATATGTTTATTCGTATGTGTTATTGTTGTATGGATGAAATTGTCTGTCTGCTTCTCATCCTTGTTTTTTTTTTTATTCTTAAGAAGTGGTTGAGTTATAATTTTTACCATGAAATTATTTTTTCTATGCAAAGTGTCTCCTATGTCTGATCAATCAGATGTTGTTTTATGGGATGGGGTGGGGAGGGGGGGGGGGGGGGGCTGCCAAACGAATTGTATTAATACCAGTGGCGGGGAGAAAATAAATTTGTTGTAAATAAAATATTTTCTAACTTTTCATTCGAAGTCTGTCTCTTCCTAAAAGTTGTCTGAGTAGACGTGCGATGTCCTGTCAAAATGATTTCCTAATAATGTCCTTAAAAACGTTCCAGTCACCCAGACTCTGGAAATGTGTTTCACAGTCATTACATCAGCTGTCATCAGTGTCTCTTACCAAACACTCACACACCCTGTTGGATAGATTGCAACATCTGAACTCTGCTGAACCGTGCCAGAAACCAAAGTCTGTGTATTCCCATTTGATCGGTAAGCTGGAGGTGGTGTTATTTTCCACAGCTCAATGTTTTACGGATGTGCTGGATTGTTTTTTTTGGTAGCACCAGCTTGTATGCCCTATTTTTCATTAATATTCATTTAAAGAGAGAGCTGAAGAGAAATGGGCTAAAGGCGGGACTTGTTTGGAGTCAAACTCAGGACGATTTACACATCAGGTCACCTCAACACACAGCGCAGGTTCACTGACACAGGCGTCTTTTATGTGGTTCTTGGGCAAGTCACAAGTCTGTCAAACGCACAGTAGATGCTTCTCTTCACGTGAGGGATATAAACTGAATATACGCCTAATACAATCCACCCTTCGGGATCAACCCCTACAAATGTAAGGATCATTGTAAATTACATTTTAGTTAGTCGAAGCTATTGAACCTAAAGAAACACATATGGGCTTTAAACAATATACAGTATGATACACTGTAAGGGTGTAATCTTTTTTTTGAGATTACAGTGTTTGTAAAAATGTATCAATTATGTTAATGATCAGATATCTGTAGAATAATTATTAGGTTGGAAAAACAACACACAATCAGAAAGTTACATTAAAACATAGATATGGTTTATTTTTTCTAACATGTTATCTGAAACTTCTTCTGAATCCCTTATCTGATTAATCAGAAATGTGTCATCTGATATTACATTATATGAAACAAACACATATTTTTGAAACAGGAATATGTTACTGAAGTCAAGGGTAAGGTGATATTGGACTCTTTGTCTTTTCTTTTCTTTATGTATATACTTGGGCCTTTTTCAAATTATAACTGCTTGTAAATGCGCTACAACGTCACAGAATACTTACATTAGAAAAAATGAGCTCCACTTTAAAAAAGATGCAAATATAAAAACACATACGCGCCAAAGAAAAAAACATCTTCACCAACTTGACAACACATGTGCAGCATTTAGAAAACATTTACCAACTTCTAATACAAGTGTTGTGAGTCATTGTAGTGTGTTTGGCCCTGTCAGCTACTGTATAAGTCTAAACAAAAATGGCGGTTAACAATGAGGAGGAATATGTGTGAGCTGTAAAAGAAGAAAAAGACGAGAAGGAGAAAGCTAGGCCGTGAGAATGTAGCAGATTAAGGAGGAGTATTGCCCCTAAAAATAAGCCTTAGAGTTGGCAGATGATGGGGGGATTTCTGGCTCTGACCCGGATGGTCCTGTTGGATGGTTGTTGATGATGATGGTAATTAAATGTGTTCTTTTTGTCAAGTCAGCATATCCTCACTTTGTTACAGCCGGCCTCTGCTGACCAAACCTTGCCAAGATTCCTCAGTAAATCTGCCAAACACAATTTTCATAAAGTATTTTTCTGCAGTTGTCTGTCCACACAGAGTCCAAAGATATATAGCGACTTTGATTTACATAAGGAAGTTTTGTTTTTATTTTAGCTCCTTAAGAAACAGCAGCTTCAATTTTGTATTTTCTTTTGTTTAACTATTACAAAGGAATTTTACTCCCACCAGGGTGTGATACCTGATATGTGTGTCCTTGCAAAAGGCTTGTTTCTGAAGCGATACACCTGCTACTGAAAAAAAAACAAAGCTCTGGAGAAATAGCTGTGTTTAATCTGGTGTTTGTACAGAAAACAATTTAGGAATTTATATTATTCTTTAGGAATTGATATCTAGTTTCAGCAGTATAAATAATGGTGATACCCTGGCTTGAGCCTGCAAGGGGAAATGTATTGCAATGTAAAACTATTCTATAGTGTGAAAAGAAGTGTCGATGCACTACTGTATATGTTGATGATTGGTATTTTCAAATGTTGATTGTCTTTTTTTCTTGTCCTACAATATTATCAATGCCAATAGTAAACTTTTGTAAATATGAATGCTCCTCGAAATATGAATTTTACCATCTGAAAAAGTAGGTATGGTATATGTTTGATATATTTTCAATTGTTTTATTGAGGGAAATAACAACACCAGTTCACTGGATTGGAATAAACATTGTTGATTTAGTTTGCTGATCAAACATGAACAACCAGTACCTTGATGAGAAAGTATTCATCAAAAAAAATATTATCACTCATGTGACATGACGGTTTTTTCCACCCACCGACATTTTTCAGACATGGTGTTGCTTCACCTGTAACTGGCAGAGCTCATCACGATACCTTTGTCAGGTAGATTCTTTCCAAATGATTCACACATTCACATGCTCCTTAATGCCATTACAGTCAATGTCTAAAGTTGAATGTAATGTGATGTAACCTGTAATCTGTTCTGTCACACTGTATGACTGAAAGGAAAACATGTTTTACATCATTCCTAATTAGTTGGTTCAAGTGAAAGCATTTATCCCTTTAATCTCTAATTGCTGTGTAACTTTTTTTCATTTCAACATAACTGTGAGAGATTGAGGAGAGAAAAGCGGCTTTTTTTAAATATATAAAAAAGAAGCATTAACTTTGCGCTGGCGGGAAGATTTAGGGATTCAATCTGAAACACCAATAAAACATTTAAAAAAGAAAGAAAGGAGCTTCAAAACATTTCATTATGTGGCTAAATTGGGTGTTTATTATTTTATTTTTGTTGAGAGTTTGAGGAAAAGATGATTTTGTTCTCATGACTGAATGTTTTTTCTTTGGACGGACACTATAATTTACATTTCTTTACTATGTTCAATCTGAATTTACTTTAAAATTAAAAAAAATCTATATTGATTCTGACTTTTCTACATCCAACTCACAGGTTTATCATTGCTTTTAGAAGTGAAGTTATAGTCATTTGTTCTGGGAATGTCATTTTCGAGCCTGAGACCTGAAAAACAGGCTTGGGGCTTAACAGGTTAATATATCTCTTTATCTAACTTTTTTTGAGAGAAGGTAAATAATGCTGCCAGCTACACATTCTCAATATCTCTTCAAATGTCATGCCTTTTTTTCAAGCAACTAAACTGGTAACTGCCTGATGGTGTGTCTTATGAACTTTCCCAGATCTGAAGATATTGAAAGTACTAGAGTTTAAACCAACTAACTCGTCAACTAACTTATCAAGTGAGGCCTTACAGTGGTGTGGTGACCCGGGTCCCTTTAGCCTAGTTTAACCCAGGCAGCACATCCACAGGGAGGATCGCAGTGTGCCAGTGAGAAGGCCTACTGTGTAATCCTATGTGGAACCTACTTGAGCAGGTCTCCCTTGAAAAAGAGATCAATGATCTCAATGGGATACACCTGGATAAATAAAGGTTTGAAATGAAATGAAATGAAGGCAAAAAGTCTTGATTTTTCACCCACAGTCATGAAGTCCAAGAGAGGTGGGGGCTAAGGATTCATCCTGTAAGATTTATTTTAGGGACCTCTATTGATCGAGGAAAATAAATGATAACAAACGTATGAATCTGTGTTCTTTTAACGTTGTTTCCAAATGCAAAGAGGTTCTTCTTTTTCGGGGGGGGGTACAATAAGATTTTACCAAACCTCACTTCTGAACTTAAATGATGGGTCATATATTGTTTGATAGACATGCCTGGTGTTGTGTAAAGTAGTGTAATATCTCCCTCTGCAGGATGGAAACAGTTACTGAAGCTCACAGCAGGGATCTTTCTTCTGCCAGAGCCTAATCTAATTATGACAGATTGTTCACAAACATACATCAACTTGGAGGAGTTGCAGCACCCCATGGCTGTTTTATTGTTTCAGCTGGTTGAGCTGTAGAGAGAGAGGAACAATAAAGCCAATAACAATAAAGTAGTTGTCAGGACTGTGAGGGAGGAAAGGTTGCCGAGGTGATACAGTTAACAGGCCAGCCCAATTCCTTCACATGGTCTCCTGGAGTAATTGGATGTAGAAAAATTAAAGCTGGACGCCGGAGTCACAAAAAATTGTTCGGAAATCCTGATTCGTTTTTGGCCTTTTTGAGGGAATTTGGTCAATACAAGAAACACTCAAAAAGTAGCCATTACCATGAAATACCATTACTTGCTTGTGAGAGTAAAGAAAAACTACAAACCACATTAAACATGGTGTCAATGATTTGCATTAGAATTACCATTCTGATTAGGATCTTGTCTCGCACTCGTGTCATGGGACAGGTTTTTATGCGATCATGTATACTATTGTATACAGCGAAATACAGACTTAAATGGGTACAATTATGCTTGCTACGGTATACATAAAAATGTGTTGTGAGGTCAGGATCTTTAGTCAAAGTCAACTTTATTGTCAATCTCAAAATATGTTTGTACACACAGACACTTGGTGCACTGGAGATGTGTACTCTTTAGTTTAGTGCATCCACTGGGAGTGTATCTTCCATCTTTGATGCACCCTCTCATAACATCACAGTGTGCATGTTATACATCAGGGTTGCCAACTCTCACGCATCTGGCGTGTGACACACGCTTTCACTCTCAATCTCACGCTCTCACGCTGCCCAAACTATTCTCACGCCAAAAACAAGATGAACCGGCGATCGTTTTTGGTTGGTTATTAATTTTGTTGGATACACTTTCCCGGAAATTATTGCGATAAACGATAATATTGTCGGCACCGTTGTATGACCATTTTAGACCACTGACATAATGATAATATATAATAATAATTCAAGTACATCCTTTCAAACTGCTAGTCACATCCTCATGTAAATGGCAATTTATCGAGTTCATTTTTATTTATCGTATGATAAGTCAATTATTTGCTTATCGTGACAGGCCTATGCACACAATAAAACAGTGGAAACAAACATGTGTTTGACTTTCATTAGTGAATGAAACTGTGTGCCCTTTATAGTCTGTGTATTGTGTATTTGTATATATTGTATATATATCCTATATATATGCTAAGGTCCCGCTACTGACACGATAGCAGTCATTTAGTGCGCATATGTGTAATCAAACCAATTAAACCCATGATATCAAAATCTCACTCCAGCCAGGTACCCAAAGTTGGCAACCCTGATACATTGTGTGGCTATCATTTTGGCTAGTTTCCTGCTTATAGAAGAACACATCAGGTTTCCTTTTCTTTGACTGTCATGGTATTCATAATGTCCTGGTGTTGAACTCAGTGCAGGAGTATTAGACACACACACTAACACACAGACTTAATATCTCCCAATAGGACGTTCAATGTTTTTATTCGAGAAATATGATTTTTCTTCGTGTGTGTCCTGACCCTAAAGATGGTCACTTTTTTCTGAAATTGCATGACACATTGGATTCTGTACGTAAACACATGAACTAATATGTTGAGACAATTTTCAAGACACATTTAAGCAATGAATCTTTCATATGCTTTTTCAAAAGGTGAGGTCATCGAATATCATCTCTTAAGAAGGCAAACACAATGCTCTAAATGGATGTCGACATATTTCACAAATGTCACAAAAACCAAGACACACATCTTGGACATGGATTTCAGATGGGTTTTCTTCTATTATATATGAATATGCTATTTATAATTTCTTAGTGAAAGGTATAATTTCTTATCAATAGCTCCCAGGTTGTCATGATTTCAGTTTTGTGTATAGTTTCCTGTTTTATTTTGAAATTCCGTTCTTCTTGTGTCTTGACTCGTCTTCTTTCCTGTGTTTTCCCTCATGTGCTTGATTGTCTGATTGTGTTTCACCTCCCCTCTCCAGCTGTTTGTTGGCTTGTGATAAGCCTTGTGTATTTAGTCTTGCTTTCCCTTGTGTTCCTTGTTGGGTCGTCGTCGTCGTTGTCCTCATGTTTGGTTCCTGATTTCACTTCATTCCCATGGATGTTCCTGTTTCCCTTGTCTGCCCTCATGCGTCCTCCTAGTCCTCCTTGTTCGTTCTAGTTTTGTTAATAAAAGCTCACCTTGTCTTAACATTCCCATACCTGCCTCCCCTGTTTTTATGAATATTTTTATAAAATGTCATCATTTTTCAATTGAGATATCTTGGTTTTTTTCAACAGCTTCCAGGTCATATGACCAAGTGACTCCAAATCAATGTAACACTGTTATACTACGCTGCACAAGTAGGATACACCTCTTTTATCATATCATTTACTGAGACATAAGAGGTCTTTATTCATAGTGATTTAATCCAATTAATTGATCAAAATTAATTTAGAGGTTTTCTGTTATGTCTCTAAGTCTTGCAATCATTTTGAGAATTATCTGCTCATAGTCTGGGTTCTTGAACGATCTGCAGTTGTCATAGTCTGTACAGGGAGCAGAAAGGCTTAAGAGAACATGGAAAATGATGCAGAAATGAAAAATTCAGCATACATAACATCGTATACAAACTTCATTTTTTTAAAGAAAGGACGGGCAACGTCAATTGTTTATACTGACTACATGCCTATTGTTAAGATATATTTATATCATTATTCAAGTCCTTCTCTTATGTTAAATCTGATAGGTGTCTCACCATGATCTGAGCTTAGAATCACCGGATCATACAAGCCGAGGCACTCTGCCTGTGTCCTAAACTCCTTCAGCTCAGCAGCATTGATGGTGTTTCTCCTGCCTGGTGAGGAGGGAACACATTTTAAATAAAGGCCTTGTGAAGACATTATGTCTATGAACATTACAGTGATATCTCAGTATCACTTTATGATATCATTATCACAAGGTTAAAATTCCCATTTGTCCTTTTCTTTTGGTTTACGACCAAATACCTGCAAAACTAATCACAATCTCATGAGTCTCTGCAGTTAAAGGTAGGGTAGGTAAGAATGGAGAAACCAGCTCGAGTGCGCTAGAATTTGAAAGTACGCAGCCGAAATAAATCTGCCCCTTCCTTCAGACTTCCTTACCGAGCCTCTCACACACACGAACGCGCACATGACCAATGAGGGCACGAGATAAGTTTGTGCACGAGATGGAAGGCTGACAGGCAGGTAGGCCATCCAGTTATTTTAGCCGGGCCGGCTCAGATGATTGGTCGTGCTTTTTACAGCGCCACGGCTTCCACAGATGACATTCTTTTATGTATTTATTGTCAAAGCATTTAAGATATTCATTGCTATCGGGATGTTAAGAGCATTCCATGGAATATAACAACAAGTGTTTCTGAAGTGAATTACCTACCCCACCTTTAAGTGTTTAGTGCTAATTAGCAAATGTTAGCATGCTTACTTGCTGAGCACCAGCACGTCTTTTATTTCATCACCTAGTAATCATTATAAATGTTGTTCTGTATTGAGTATTAGTGTCATGTTAAGTTATATTTGACTGTGTATCACCATAGTTGGATATATTATTACATAATTTCTCATTTCAGTTTGATTTGAGTTCTACTTACTGAAGAGAAATAATAAGGAGTTGTATTGGCTATGTTCCTTTATAAGGAGGCAGTCAGGACAGCCACTCTGCAGCAGCACACCTGGTGGAGCAAGGCTGCCATCTGTTGGAAACATTAAAAAAAGATAATATATGGTAATGACATGAAATACTATAATATTATAATCACATTAACACAACATCTCCTCAAGATGTTGAAAATACAAATAATGTTACATTAAAAAAAAGAAAAATTGAAGAATATCACACAAGTAATGTCCTACACATTAATTCAAAGCCTATCAGCATTATTGGGGGAATTGTTTAGAATCTCTTTTGTTACATATTTTCTTTTAATATTCTTTACTCTTATAACTATTATTTTAATTTTAATTTTATTTATAAGTCAAATTATATATTGTGGATATTAACACAGTGTGAACATTGCAAATAGTAAAAATTAGTTAGCATTCTTAAATATCAAAAGAGTTATTTTTAAAGAAGACAATTCAAGACCAGTGTTCAATAAACAAACTTCTTACCTTTGCCATTGGACAGAGTGTTGTTCTTATACGCAAATGTAGTTGATTCGTTCATGCAGTGTCCATACCTGAAACAAATGTATTAAAGATCAAACTGAAAGAGCATCTGCAAAGGACATGTTGATGTAAGATGCACAAGTAACCTACAAAGTTACAAATACAAAGTGTGATGCATCAGATTCACATCGACAAATGAACCACCATTACAGTAAGTAAGATTGCTTACACTTTAATCTTAGCGGTTGCATCCGAATCGTTCGGTGAGTCCCATATGGGTATCGTCCACTTCAAGACTTGGCCCGAGAACATATTTAAAAAACATTGATAAGAGAAAACTCTCCGAGGACATGCCTATGAGTCGCCAACTCCCAGTCAACTGAAACCAGAAATATTAAATGTATCATACTACATCTATTTCCTTTTGGTTTAAAAATGAGACTTTTACGGTGAAGATTTTACAAGCCCTGGGAAAAAGATATGTAGCATTAATCGGTACAGTAGTTTCAATTTAGATTTGACTGATTCAATTGTTACAAAAGTACAAAGAGAGTTATGAATGGGAAAAGAGACTTTCGTCAGGATCTTTGTCCACTGGCTGCAGCAGCTTCTCACAGGCCAGTGATGCAGGCTGGCACACTGAGGAGAGACTCAGCACGACAGCAGTAACACACAGAGTCTTCATCATGGCTCTGATTCCTCTTCATCTCTCTCAGGTTGCTTTTATAAAGATAGCACTGACCAATTACTACTTTGCAACATCCATCCACCCCTGTTTGAGTTGGTACAACGTCCACTTAAACTGAATGTTGCAAGCCTTTATGTTTACTTAAAAAAAAAACTAGACTGCAAATACAGCAGTTACTAAACTTGAAAACAAGGGGCAGAGGTCTGTTGAGTTTCTTCTCTGTTTGCAGTTTTATAACAGCATGGTGTGTGTGCACCAACTATTTTAGGGTCAAGTCTTTCTCATTTTGATATAGCCTACTATATTCTTTCTACAACTGATCCTACACATCCAGAATTCACTGATAGAGGAAGCTTTGAGTATATAGTGTGTTTTTACACTGGAAAGGTGACACAATGGATGGAGAATACAAGACAGTGAGCATGCTAAATACGGCGCACAAGACCAGGTGCATGTTGCGAACAATTATTGTTACAGTGAATGAAGGGGGTGGGGCTGGGGTGTCTAAAGTCAAAGATGAATCTTGATTGGGCCAAATTTGACCTTGAGTCACCCACAACAATGCTGCTGGGTCTACCCAGACCCGAACACCAAATTAGGCTATACACTTTTTTTTTAGAGATCTTCAGACTTTGTCAAAATCAGTTTTGTAGTGTTTATATAGCTGTTGTGGAGGATATCATGAAGCCTTGTTAAAATAAAAAACTAGAGCGTAGTTATTATATAATTTTAACTTGAAAAGGGTCTCGGGAGACCCGAACAAAACAGAAGGGGACATGTTTTATGTCTATTTGGAATGTATAACAATGCATTACCAAAGTAGGAACTGCATTTGTTGAGTGTTCTTGTTGAATAAAATAGCTAGCAAAAGAGTGTGTTATACTGCAGAAAGAAACCCAACTATTATTCTAATAATTAACTTTTATGGGCATAAGCAATTCATTCAAATGAATAGCTTAAGATTTGTATAGGCTCAGGCTGACCTACCATTTTCACAGTTTTCTAAGAAAAATACATTATGTTATACTTACAAACATCCAACAGAGGGGGCAGTTATGCAACATTACCTGGAATCAATCCGGCGAGGAAGAATAAGACCCGGAAGTAGCCGGTTGCTCTGTTTTGGTTTTGTCGCGGCGGGAAAGCTCACATAAGAACGAAGTAAACAAATTACATGGTAAGAATTAAGTTCAATGTCTCATGTATTTTGTTTAGTCATTAAATCAGCTAATCTGGCTGCAAAGCTCTCTTAATGTTCTGCCGTTAAACGGGCTACGTCAGGGTTGCCAACTTTGGGTACCTGACTGGAGTGAGATTTTGATATCATGGGTTTAATTACACATGCGCATAAATGACTGCTATCGTGTCAGTAGCGGGACCTTAGCATATATATAGGATATATATACAATATATACAAATACACAATACACAATACACAGACTATAAAGGGCACACAGTTTCATTCACTAATGAAAGTCAAACACATGTTTATTTCCACTGTTTTATTGTGTGCATAGGCCTGTCGCGATAAGCAAATAATTGACTTATCATACGATAAATAAAAATGAACTCGATAAATTGCCATTTACATGAGGATGTGACTAGCAGTTTGAAAGGATGTACTTGGATTATTATTATATATTATCATTATGTCAGTGGTCTAAAATGGTCATACAACGGTGCCGACAATATTATCGTTTATTGCAATAATTTCCGGGAAAGTGTATCCAACAAAATTAATAACCAACCAAAAACGATCGCCGGTTCATCTTGTTTTTGGCGTGAGAATAGTTTGGGCAGCGTGAGACTGAGAGTGAAAGCGTGTGTCACACGCCAGATGCGTGAGAGTTGGCAACCCTGAGGCTACGTTAAAGCGTATCGTGCTAACCAGACCTAGCTACTCTAACCTAAGCAACGGGAAAAAGTAGTACTAACATGTTTCTAATGCATGTACAAACACTCATTCATAAAACTGGTTTGGTTTATTTAACATTAATTGGTTTATCAAACACATTGTATTAGAATATCATCAACTTCCATGCCATGTGAGCCAGTGATTCAATGCAGCATAGTGTTACTACACACTGTAATATAAAACACTTCTCTTTATTGGATTTGAGTCCAGCTTTTTACTGTAGACAAGTTGAATAAACTTTAATAAATTAAGTGTTTATGTAAGCCATTGCCTCCCAATCCATATGAGATATTATTATGGAACTAGACAAATAAGACACACCTTTTTTTTTATTGGATTTTAAAAATAATTGGGGGATAATCATTTTAAATATTGTTATTCAAATTACCCTACCCTAGATTTCCTCAATTTATTTCATTGTACTGTAGTCCACGTTTTACTTTATAAAAATCTGTATGTATTACAGTAACTTTTCATTTGTTTTAAGGGCTGTCTTTTCTGTAATTGACCCTCCTCCACTAGGTGAGACATTTGAAAGCATGGCGTCCACAAAGCAGGATGCGGCCATATCTGACATCTCCCCAGTTCTGTTCCTGACGGTGGACGGTGAACCCATGTCCTTCTTCCTGAGACCGGGTCCTGTTAAATGCAAGCTCCAGCCGCTCATTGCAGCTGGAGGAGGGATCCTGAGCAATGTGCAGCGGCCAGGGGCCATTCTGCTCATTGACCCCGAAGAAAACGTCTCTATTCCTGAAACTACTGCTCACTGGTAGGTGCTGGGCTGGGATGCCATTAGGGAGTGTGTTACGTGAGGAGAAATACTGTTCAGCCTCTTCAGTTGATAAAACATGACCATACCATGTAAGGCAATTTCTTGGCTTTGATGGTTATTTTGAGCCATTTAATAATCATATTTTAAGAATATTTCTGCCCAACATTCACATATCTAGATCCAAAGAATACTTCATCCCAAATTTCATTTTTGAATGTCATTATTGTATTATTATATTCATTAACTATGAATTATTATAGAAATGTTTATTTTTGTTTGCATGCCTCAATCTTGAATTGAGGAATCCAAAGACAGAGACAATTGTTGATCAATTAAGGTAGGTAGAGGCTGCGTTTAAAAACAGCAAAACGATATCAACATATCAGTTCACAAACTGTCACATAATAACCGCAGCCCAAGTCTAATTTATTCAGTGAAATACTCACAATGTTCCAAACATGCCTTTGCTGTCTGTCTCGTCAAACACTAATTCAAGAATGAATGTATGGACGTAAGCATATGAACATTTTTGTTATTGACCTTTAACTGTTCACTCTTCTAAGGCTCATTGAAAATAAGGCCTACCCTTATTGGATCATTAAACAGAATTTTGTTTATTGGAAAAAAACAAGAGCATTTTATTTTCATGGCTTACACATTTGTATTCATCCTTTCTAATGGCCGAGCACTTTTAGGTTTTAGCACAGTAAGCCAAATAACTCTTTCTATATGTAGGTGATAAGGAGTGTAATTTATATCGACAACATTGTTATTGTGTAACTATCATTAAACATATTTAAAGCATGAAATGAAAGTGCTGTCTGTTTATTCCTCAGTTACGTGTCCACCCAGTACATTCACGACTGTATTGAGAAGGAGGAACAGCTGAATTTAGAGGACTACAGGTTAAACCCTGAAGTTGCCCCGAGACAGTCTCCTAGACTCAACAGGACCTCTCGTCGTCTCTCAGGAGGTATGATGTTATGAGCTGACCTTCTTGTAAGGAGCATAGTTTACTTGTAACAAGATATAAAAAGTGTGCAGTTGTTTTGTATTAGCTTTAGCCTTTATTATCACATGAATATTCATGTCACACTGTTTATTAGTTTTACATTTACTGACAAATACTTCCTCATTCTTTCATAAAAATTAGGCAGGATTGCCTACACAGCTGAAGATGATGCAGCCATTTCGAGTTATGTCAGCAAGCACCAGAAAGAGGTTGGGGGGAACCGGCTTTGGCAAGAGATGGAGAAGCAGAATGTGACCAAACACAGCTGGCAGTCAATGAAATACCGCTATAAAGTGTGCCTGGCAAATAAACAACCAGAGGTTTTGGAGGTGAAAGCAGAGGAAGCCACAAAATCAGTAGAGGGTGATTTGAAGGTAATTTACTTTGAAGATATTTAGCTATATATTTCTCTGTATAACTATATTTCTTTCAGAATGTACATAAGAGGCAGTTTTAAATACAGTACTACTGTCCAACAGCTTAAACCTATTCAATGCAACAGTCCTGAAATAAACCCAACGTTATTGAACCTTTTAATGTTCAGGTTTGGTTGGCAGGCTGTCAATAGAGGTGTTTATCCTTTTAGTGGTCTATTGTTCTACAGAATATTGAAAGATGATTTTATTGAGTAGATGAGTAAATGTATATTTCAAGTATGGTCATTCATTTGAGCAATATATGAGTCATACCAGGGACAATTCTGGTGTTATTAGGGAGGGTGTGAACACTTTATCGAACATTCATTGGACATGAGGGCTGTCATGAGTTAAAGGTTTTTTCGCACAGTTACAAAGATACAAAAAATAATGTTCATGTTACCTCATATCACCACCATTTAGTGCGACAATGTATTGAAAACTATTTTTTTATGTAAAATGGTCAAATAAACTCCAAAATTCCCACATTGCTGCAACATAACAAATCCCAGGTTGATTATTTTGGAGGCTGTAGGTCAGAACCAGAAACAGGTTTATTACCAGCTAGGTTGACACGTACGAGAACTTTGACTTGGTGTTGTGGTGCATACATAAAACAAAAATTAAAAACACAGATAGGTGCTAGTATATTTGTTCATAATATCAGCGGTGGTGCCAAAAAAACATTAACATTTTCAAAGTAACAGAGTAATCATAAAACACGTACACATAATGCCACCTTCTTCTTTTTTTAACTCACTGCTGTGCAACCATTACCACAGTTAAAACATTTAGTAGGTTTGAATGTGATTTGTAGGGGCTGTGTATGGGATTTGGTGTCATCTATTTTTGCAGTTGCAAATTGTACCCCCACACACCCCTCCGTTAACCACGGAGGTAAAGAGTTGTCAATTGAAGTGCCATGGTAACACCTGGGTATCCTTTTTACTGCACTGTTAGTGTACAGTTTTATTATTATGCTGCTGTGTTTATTGTATTTTTGCAACTCTGGCACAACAATTTCCTTCGGGATAAATAAAGTCCTATCTTATCTTATCTTTAGGTCTTTAGACGCCATCCCTAGAATAACACTACTTTAGAAGCAGTTTAACAAACGTGTCTGAGAATTACGCGGACATTAAGGTAATGTAAAAACAGGAAAGATCTTCTCTAGAGCCAGAGTTTTGTTTGTGTGTTCAGAGCTACTGCAAAAACATTTCAGACCCTGTGAAGAGGACCCCCTCCCTGCACAGATCTGAAGGACTCACTCTAAGCTAACACAAAATTAACAGTTCTTTGTTTCAGGCGATTATACACGAATGAAAGCATTAATATTACATTCCATTTCTGCTAATCATACCCCCTAAATACTACACACTGGTCCCTTGATAAGCAATTTAAATGACTTGAACTGAACACAACAGATTTGGTGTCTCCACAGATAGATGCCCAGCCCATACCAGCTGAAGACACACAACCAGAATCTCCAAAATCCATCTCTCCCGAAAAAGAAGTCCAACTTGCGAATCCACAATCTGATGAGCAACCAGCTGAAAGCACACTAGTAGAGACGGTAGAAGCTGAAACTAACCCCCCCCAACCCGAGGGACCTTGTTTAGACCCACACACAGATGATCAGCCCATCCAAGCTGAGAGCACGGAAACAATCATCTCTCCTGAGAAAGAAATGTTGCCAGAGGACTCTCCTCCAGCTCAGCCCGAGTCCCTGCCAGGCACCCCTCTTCAGATAAAGCCTAAAGAGAAACAGAAGGCCTCCCCAAAGCCCCAACAACCTCAGAGACGACCAACACGCTGGCATCTTGTGCTGGAGGGGTCGCCTGAACCATATGGTAAAAAACTCAGATCAGCAATTCCTTCAAGACGATGTGGATCATCCCCGCAGCTCTCGGAGAAAAGTAAATCTCCCACTAAGTCTGCTCCTAAGAAAGACAAAATGGTGGAGCAGCCGCCTTCAAAGAAAGCCAGAGGAAGCAGTGTGGCAGCGGCGCCAGAGGAACCGCAGGAGGAGAGCGCACAAGCTCCTGTTTCTGAAACAGCACCAACAGGTGTGTTATACATCTCCCAGTGTGGGAGAGCTTTTATATAATAGAGGATCTTCACTTCTCTAATTTGTCAACCTCCAATGATATGTTGCAGATGCAGAGTCTAATTCAGTGCCACAGGAAGTGGAGAAGAAAAAAGAAAAGAGAAAGTTGGGGATTTTAGAGTTGGCTATAAAGGAGTTTGAAGATGAAAGTGAGGTAAGACAAAACCGATTTATAATGAATAAAAATGGCTTGTCACAAGGTTGCTTTTCGATCAAGGAATCCTTGAATTGTATCAGCTGATGTTATCCTTTTCTTCATCACCTCCAAAAAAACCATTCTCCCCATGAAAGAATCCTTAGTTATGCTTTATTTAATCAAACCTTTGTGTTCCTGTCTCTCAGTCGGATGAGGATGTAGCTCCAGACCTCCAAAACCCATCCGAAACACCAACGATACAACCCCCAGCGACAGAACCTCCCCCCCCCACTGCAGACACAGCCTCCACACTGCCCGACCTTGAGCATGGAGCCGACCTCCAGGAGAACACGCCAGACCCCCAGGCCTCCAGCAGCAACTGCCCCCCAGAGACCGGCTGCCCTGAACCTGCAGCAGCTGAGGGGGTCCGCTCCTCCTCCAAAGCCCACCTGTTCATATTCGACAGTGAAACTCAGGAGGAGGAAGACTCTCAGTCTGTCATCGGTCCCAGCAGAGAAGCTCCATCCCGACCAGAGGCAGCGGTGAACAAAGATGCTGCCTTTTCCCTGACTCAGGTCCAGCTGGAGGAGGACAAACAGCGAATCAAAAAGCTGATGAAGCAGACCGGCCAGGTGAGGACTGATGATGCAATGGGAATGGGAAATGAACTGCATTTGTTGTAGCGCTTTTCCAGTCTTTGCAACCCCTCAAAGCGCCTTTACACATACGAGTCACCATTCACCCATTCACACACATCTCACAACATTGGCAATTTGGTCTTAAGCTTCTTGCCCAAGGATACATCAACATGTTGACTGCAGTGGCTGGAAGCAGCAGCACAGAAGTGATTGAAAATAAAACCATTTATTGATTTCTAATGCCAACGCTTGTGTCGTGATAACGCTTTTAAGTTTTTTTCATATAGCTGATTCTAATATACTGGATAATATAACTTTTCGAAGCAAATATTGATATATGCAATTCATTTAGATGAATGTCCCAAAGCATATCATTATTGAATACATGTTATAAATCGTTTAACAGCATTAATTATAAGATAATAAAAGTGATGAATCGCACCAATACTGTATGTTCATTATTACAGCTGTCATGTGATCGTGTAGGTTACATCACATTTCATTTCATTTAGGTGACGCTTTTATCCAAAGCTACTCAATAAGTGTAGACCTGATGCATGTTCAAAATGCTTAAGAAAAAAAGCTATCAGTGAATTTGACAACTTATTTATTTTGTACATTTTTGGGCATTTCTGAACTCCCCCAACTATTTTTATTCCAGGACTTGATCAGTGTGACCAAAGCCCTGTTGAGGACCAGCGGGGACGTCTCTGCTGCTCTGGAGCACCTTTTGAACCCCTCTTCCGCATTGGGACCCCTGTGGTGTCGCAGTGACGACGGTCTCTTGCTCTCAGATGATCCCGGGGTCCGACAGAAGCTGCAGGAGAAATACAGCGAGCAGGGCGTGGCCAAAAGAGTCGTGTTCCTCGAGGTAGAGGGGTGACAGTGCTGGAAGGAACTCTTGTGGTGGCAGATAAATACAAAAATCTGTTATAAGTAAGCATTTTCCAAAAAGCACAAGTTAAGATAATAAAAGGAATGTTTGAATTATTTCATTTAGTAAGGGTCCTGGTATTGTGCATGCATCACTCACAAAAAAACTCAGCAAAGAACCATTGTGTTATCAGTAACACCTGCCGATAAGATGTCTGTAAAGAGTTGCTGAACTGACTTTACTACATTAATGACTGCAGCCAAGTTCTTGAACTTTTCACACACTCGTCACAATTATCAGGAATTCCAAGCAAAATGAAAAGGACAGGTTAGAGGACTTTCTGTTTATCTTCGCTGAACTACATTGTAGTAATTTGATTACGGATAACTGTACATCCTTGAATTTTCTACTGATGAACAATAAAACCATACTGTCTAGATTCATATGCACTTTTTCACAGAGCATTCAAGTATACTATAATGGCACGGAAACCTCTTTAATCTTTTTGAATGAGTGAAAAGAATTAAGAAAAAAACACAGCCTTGATTTTTCTTTTCCAAACCACAATTTTATTTCATTTTCCCCCAAAAAACAATTGAGTACATTCATAATTCTGAAACAATCTGCCCCAAACCCACATGAAAACATTTTATGAATAGTTTAAACAAAAATAATGAGAAATAAAACTATTAAATTAAAGCAGACAAATCAACCATGAACCAAACAGGATGCTTCCTGTAATGCAAATGAAACACAAAGACCAGAATCCATACAGATCAGTAGAGTTTACCCTAATATGGCCACAAGTATTGCTGCACCTTGAATCTCCCGTTTATGAAATAAAAGATCTCAGAAAAATAATGACTTATAACAGCAAACAGGTATGCCATGAACATATACAACTGTTAGTTGAAACAACCGTTAACACAACCGTGTATTCCTAGCGCACGCTGATAAAAACCAATTGCATAAAAAAACATTTTAAATATGAAACATTCACTCGGACCTAAGTCACATACATCTAGGCCGCACACTGTAAGTCGGTCAGGTAAGAACACATTTAGTAAAGCAACCCATACCAAGGTCTCCAAATCACAGCACACCATATATCCCTGGATTTAAACAGCTACATGGTTTTTGCTCAGCTTTTACATGTGAGGTCTTTAGAAGATGCCTCCAATCAAGCTACATTCATTAAGGAGGGTTGCTACAATTATGTCGACTGCATGTCGTTTGAATGTGACCTGATCTGAGAGAAGTAAATGGAGACGATGCACTTAATGCAAGACTTGTTGCAAGAAGTTTGAAAACACACGTGTGGTGGTATGCATGGACAAACACTGAGATTTTCCAGAGTTAGTAGGATTTATAGCTGGATTTATGTCTCTGTCCTTTCACTGTACACTTTGCTTTGGTTGGCTGGTTAATGTGATGGTGATGTGAGCTCCTTTAACGAGCAAGAGCGAACTGTGTTGCTGTTTCTGGAAGACAGTCATTGAATCAATACATATGCCTTTGATGTTGATAAAAAGAACAGTAGCGATAACAGAATGGCTCTTTGTTATTTATCAGGCTGGTTTTACATCAACTCATAAGAGGATATGAAGGATCTCCATGAGTGAGACACTTCCTCACTCTTGTCTTATGTAGTTAGTTTTTTATTATGGGTGATCTGATATGGTCAATAATTGACAGAATCGTCTGTTTAATAATCTTGCTAAATCAATCAAAGCAGAGTATGGTGACAATAACACACTTTTTGGTTAACAGAATAATTAGAAAAAACAGTGAAAAATATGTCACAAATATTATTATTATTGATTAGGCTTGACGCAAAGTCTGCATTGCAGCTATTACGTTAAAAAAAGAAAGTTTAAAAAAAAAAAAGACTCATAGCTCCCTTTCTCCACACAAACATGCTGAAACAACAAAAGGCCTGCGTTTTAACATTCTGATCTGTAAAACTTCAGTATAGAAGTAGCACTTATTCTTTGATCCAGCAAACCGTACATACATTATAATACAAAGAGGTGATAAAAAGATCACTTATGTCCCCATGCTTCGATCGCTTGCTACGCTTATCCTGTGGGAGCATTGAGAAGAGAAATCGTGAGACTTCTCGCTCTGTTGCAAAGTGTTTGTGATGAATAAAAAGGCCTCTGGGGTATACGATCACATGCCTACAGCTTGTTATGTACAGTCTGACACTTTTAGCCCCAATTCAGGAGAGCCAAAGCAGGATGTACAACCCGTCTGGAACAGAGTCCCCTGCAGGACAGCAGAAGACAGCTCATAATCAAAACACACATACACAACAGGTTCATCTAAATTAAAAAAACTAAGATGTCAGGAGATGATGTATCCTTTGGTTTTTCTTATGACGTTTGAGGGCATTGTTTGGCTTTGATTTACTTTATCAAATGTATTGGACTTTAGCCGTTTAAAATAACATTATGTGATGCACAATACATATTGATCAGAGTACATCAGAATGAAGACAGTGACCTGCCCGTTTCAGAAGTAGGGACATCTGGCAGATGTTGATAATTATAGTCCTTTAAAATTGGATTAATTGTCCCTTGTTGAGGGGGCACTGTTCCAGTTTTAACTTTTGATGTCCATGAAAAACAAAGTCCCATACTAAGGTAACTTCACGCTCAAACACGCACACAAACAACAAATAAATCTCAAAGTAATACATAGAAAACCCCTGCTTTGCTTTGAAAGGCGAATCGTATTGGAGAGGAACGGTACAAGCCAGTCCAAAAATAAGGCCGGCTAAATTGCATAGAACTTCAGTAGTGCTCTCAAGCTTCAAAGGACTGTGCTCCTTTCCTCTTGTCGACTTTGGCAGCTCTGCAGAGTTCCCTCAGAAACCGACAGAACTCTCACACCATTCTCTCCACTCCTTGCTCTGTCTCCTTGGCAGAAGACACTTAAACCCCAAACAGTTTAATCTGGATTGCAAGCAAAATATATAAATAAAACATAAAAAAGAAATCTAAAGATGGATGTCTCTTTTTTTGTGAATGCTATGTGGAGGAGCACAATATGTACTATTTTCATTTCCTTCATAATAAAAGGACATTAATAGGGTAAGAACTTGTACAAAATACTTCTCAGCCAGTTTAAAATCTTAGAGAATTGTTTTTCTCTCCCCTTAAATGAAGTGAAGCTCTGGACAAGGATCCAGCGAGGCAGCAGTGAGGAAGAGAGCACAGCTCGGACTTTATTTGCACCCATTCTTTATGTGAAGCAAAGACAACCCCCTCCCCCCCCCCCACCACTTCCTAAACAACAGATATAGTATAAAAGCACCAGTTCTGAGTCTGCGTCAGTAAGCACCACCATCAGAACTTTAAAAGGTCCAACAGGCCCAGATTTAGGCTGCTCCACCTCTAGCAGGGTTTAGCTCTATACACATTTGACCCCAGTGACGATGAGGGGCGTTCAGGAAGAGACGGGACAACGCCCTACCATGCATCAACTAACGGGGACTTCAGGCTCTGCGTCCTTGTCCAAGATCTCGTCCTGGATCTCGTCTGTGTTCCCTGAGTCGCTGCTGGCCACAGAGCTGACAGAGGGAGAGTTCCTGCCGCCTTTAATCATCCGCCGACAGCTCTCCATCTGCACATCCAGGCCTCTCTTCATGCTGCACATGTCCATGTACTCGTGCAAATGTCGGTTCATGTCATTCTTGGCTGTGGCCAATTCAAACTAAAGTAAGGGGAAAGGTTTAAAAAGTGTTAGCATGTAAGAGAGAGGGTAAAAAATATTGGTGTTTGGGTAGACTGAAGCAATGCCTTTCGTGGCTTTACCCCTGGTTTCCACACAGTGTTGTTGGGAGTACGTAATGACGTTCAAGGAATGCATTTGTTTACGGATTTATAAAATAAAAAAGCACCACCCCAAAGATAGAAAAAAAGGCTATGTTCACTATATGCTCACTATACACATGCCATACAATTTGAACATAGACATAACTAAATTTAATGACCTTAACCCTACATACTTATCTATATTCCACATAATGAATATATATATATATATACTTTTTTAGCAGTCAGTTTAGTAACATGATGATTACATATACATGTGCAACACATCAGTTGTCAATCAACCTTTTTTTTTTAACTACCAAGTCAACTTTAAAGAATATTTAAATGTTTTCCATGTTTCTTTACATGGCAATGTGGGAAAATAGTGTCTAACAATCACTAATTGTTTACGTTTTTTAATACGCCTTATTCAGGCTTTGTGCCCACAAGGCCTTTTTTTTTTTCAACACACGCACACACACTACCTCGATCTCGCCGATGGTCTCCTGGTACTGCTCCTCTCTGGTCTTAAAGAGGGACTCTGTTTGATCAATCAGGCTGCCAAGACTTCCATCCTGGGAGTCCTTGGAGAGCACAGACAGAAGTCTCATACATCATGCATGAGTAAATGTCTGACACAGCACCATAGCAATGATCTACACACCGCCCTGCATTAGTTTAAAAAAACATGTACTGTGCAAAAGGTCCATGAATGCAGACAGGACTTACTGGCTCAGCCACTTCACCGTTTCCATTGGAGCAGCTGGCGGTTGTGCCGGGTGTTGCAGTGAAGGCGCTTGGCACGTTGTAGTTTGTGAAGTCCTCCCACAGCAACAGGGTCTCCTCGTTTTCCTCCCACGTCAGACTGTCGCAGTCGTCGTCTATATCAAACGTCTCGCGCCTGGCAACAAAGGAGTTATCTGAATGTCTGCATAGGGACAAAGACAGAGAACGGAAAGAACAGGGGGAAGAGAGGAAAGACAAAGTATAACGGCCCACAGATTCAGCAGAGGACACAAGCAAAGAGGAGGATGCGCTTACTAAGAAGACAAAGACATGGAAGGAAGAGTTTACGGAAACACAGAGCAGTCACTTTCTTTTTGAAAATATTTAGAGGTCAAAATGGCCAATGTTTGTCATAGTGTAAACCATTAGGGAGCATCCAAACAAAATATGACTTTAACAAAGCAAATGAATGTTCATAATATTTGTATCTGCTGATTTCAGCCATATCTGCATAGTGTACTCTGTGATACTCTATACATGCACTAGAGGGAGATGAAGGAGTTCACAGTGCTTCATCCAAACATCATCTTTGCTGGTGTGGTGTTGATGCAGCTAATATTAAGGTTCTTTAGAGCAGAGAGCATGGGTTTTTTTGGGTCTGTGTGCATTGTTGCTGCATGTATGTGTGTCTGAGTGTGTTGCTCACAGCTGGTTGAGCATGCGTTTCATTTCGTCCGTGATGTTGAGCGACCCGGGGACGTCCTCCTCTGAAGGGCTCGGCTCTGCATCCATCTCTGACATCTCCTCGTCAGACGTGGCTTTAAGTTCCTTCCTCCTGCAGCTGGCCCCGGCACCCTGAGAAACACAAATAGTTTATCAAAAAAATGTGCCTGCTGATGTAAACTACTGATGCCTAATCATCATCGGTAGAGGGGTGAGTCTTTCGGGATTTCCATTTTAAATCTTGGAGTCATGATTCAATTCAGAATTGATTCTCGATTCAGCTCATTTCAGGATCTACTTTAGTCTGTTGTGCACCTAAAGGCGGCGTGGCAAGAAAGCAGAGTAAAGATTTGCTTTAATTGATTTAAGTTCTAATTTAATAAAGAATCTAACCACTAATTCATCAGCACTCAATTAAGTATATTTCTGAATGGTGTGCAAGAAGGAGTTCTACTTTCTGCCTTTTTTTAATTAAGCATTCTACAGACACTTCTTGTGTGTAATCTCCTTAATGAACACTGTAGATATGAGAAGCCTGACTGAAAATAGGAATATAACTGTATAACGTTTAAATTAAGAGAAGCCACCAGCTTGATTCACAGTGAATTGACAGTATACTCAGGCTCTAGCTAGCCCTGTCCGCGTAGATAACCTTGTGAGCAGCAAAGATTATCCACATTTCACTGTGTGTATGTGCATGCATATATGTAACAGGAACTACTATAACTATTGTGTATGTTTGTGTGCGTGTTTGCGACTTTTGGGTCACTGAGTTTATTACCAGCCGGGGGAAAAGAAACAACACACTATACAGATTCAGCCCCTGGCAGCTCTGGTTTCATTAACAGAGTGCTGACTGTTGTCTTCACAAGATAATTCATATTTCTGCTGAGATAACTGTCAAACAGTGAAACAGCAGATGTATACCCACCCTCTCCGGCAGCGACCGGGCCGGACTGACGTTGAACATCATCGACATGTCCTCTGAGTTGCGTTGCTGGGCCACATCGCACAGTTTGGCCGTGATGTCGATCCTCCTGCAGATGTCCATGTCTACCCGCCGGGCTTTCTCGTGGATCTTGGTGTCCAGGTCAGACATTTGCTGCGTGAGTTAGGACAGATGTGTTAAATGCCATGTGTCAGACGCCTTCTCACCACATGCACACGTACAGGGCGTAAAGTGGATTTACTGCCGTACTGATTTACTCATATTGACCGCCTTCAGTTGATCGTACTGGTCACCATTAATGAACAAATGTAGTGTTTGGAAAATAATCTCCATTTGAGTTTGTTTTTTGCAGTTTTAATAGTGTATTTGAAAGCCAATAAATTAATGTCATATACAGTATTTAGTATCTTAATGTTTACCTTTAATATCATGTTTACTTTAACGTTTTTTAAACCCTTTTTTAAGAGTTAATTTTGCGTTTATGTTTACAATGCATCTTTGTAATATAATTCAAATTAGCATTTTTATTCATAACATAATAATGGCCTTTTCGTTTAACTCTCGCTTTGAGAAGTTTGTGTTATCTGTTTTGACTGTTACTGCTACCCATTTTGTCCAGGAACAAAATAACTTAAGGTTGAATAAGATACTTACTTACACTACACTGGTTTGCATTATTCAATATGCAATAGGGCTGCAACTCACACATACTACTCTATTAATTTGTCCTATTTTCTCAATTAAACTCTTTTTTGGTCTTTAAAATGTCAGGAAGTGATAAAGAAAGTCGATCAGGATTTCCAAAAGAATAAATGATATTGTCGTTAACGCGAAGATAGTAAATGTACTACATATTTGCTTGAAAAAATACTCAAACTGAAGACTCGATCCAAATAGTTTTAACAATTTCGGATCATGCAAATTGTCACATATACTGTTCTTCATGCTAGAATGGAAGTTTTAACAAAAGGAGCAATGACAAGAGGTTTACAACATCTAGAGCACAAGATATGAGATGTCTAAGAGATCTCTTCTAAGTCACTTACCCGTCTCTGGATTCACACATAGGGGATGAAGTTAAAGACAGAAAATAATATGAAAGATCTACAATGTACAGAAGCAAGATAATCAACAAAGCTTTTTACAAAGAAGAAAAACAACAACATCTAACTTTATTTATCCCTGAGCAAGCACTGTTTGTGACTGGACCCAGCGCAGTATAACTGTATATCACACTCGAGCAGACCTTCCACAGAACAATACCCGGCCGTACAGAACAGGAAGTGCTCTTGATCTACAGCTGCTATTTGAGCTGTTTTCAATGAATGCTTGTCTTGGAAGCTTTCTGGCAGTATATATTCTTACCAAATAAGGGAGGAAGGAAAGAAGGAAGGGTGTGTGTTTAGTGTTATTGTTTGAACCTGTATGAATGACAGCCTTTATCAGAATGACGCTTAGTAATGTGCTGGGAAACAATTGTATGTTCTTTAAACACTGCTGATTGAATGGTTTACATGATTGCATATAAAGTATGGGAGTTAACACAGCACTGTGTCTATGCTGTGAAGGCAAATAGATAGTTTCCATAGCACTGAACTAATACTTACATCCGTCATCAGACTCTTGAAGACCACGAGTTCAGCCTTCAGTCTGTCCACCTTTTCACTCAGCTCATCCTGCACCTCGGTGGACTCCTGGGCACTCTAGAAGGATGTGACAGTGTCGGAGTTAAAAAAGACAGTATTAAGGTTAGTGGAGTGGGCTTTATCCCGTTAAACTTGTAAAATAACCCAAACCCTAACCCTTTATACTGTAACAAACATTTGGGTAGCTCAAAGTCTTGCATTCAGATAGTAATGCTCTTCTAATCAAATACAGCTGTTATCCTGTTAAATATTTCCATATTGGTTACTGTTTGATCTTTTTATGATCAGTGCTTAGAGGTCATAGTTTCCTTTCCTTTCCACATTTACATAACTGAGATGATGCAAATGTAAGCTGCTACTGACATAATTAACAGATAGTCAATTTGTTTTGAAACTGGTGCAGAAGGTATCTAGGGAAACCATCTGGAATACTTACATGCAGGTAGTTGCTTCCCAATACAGGGTAAATATTGTCTGTTGCAGCCATTTTAGTTCACCTGCAACAATGGCAGCTAAGCTAAGCTAACCAGATGTACATGTACCTTTATATTTATCGTACAGACAAATGAAATCGGTCTTTACATATATCTCTTAGCAAGAGGGCGAAAAACGTGGTAACCAAGATAACTAGCTTTTTCTTTGAGGTTCAACTTAAAATGTGGCTTTACAAAACATCTAACCCATTCTCATCTAAACTACATTCACAACTTCTTTAACTCTTAACACTCAAACGGTACTAAGGATGTTTGAAAAATATCCCTTTTATGGTCCAGCCTCACTATGGAGGGCCTAACATATTGCCATTGAACTCATTAGCAAGACCTCTGACTCTGGACGCCTGAAAAAACAAACCAATCCTTAAAATTCTATTTAGCTACGTAACTGTTTCACAGCCGTTAACAAAAAGGAGGGCTAACCCTATTGACTGTATTATGTCCCTATAGGAGTGCCACTTGCTCTGCATTATGCCAACACATGGTAACAGCCCTTTGGCTCTGAGCCCTGAACAATAAATGGCTGTTTGCACTGAATTTACTATCTCTGAACAGATTTCCAGCTCTTGCCTATCAGTGGCATCCGTCTGTGTGCTCTAAAAAGTAAAATCCCCCGGGGGATTGCACTCCACCTCTCTATCTGAGGTTCTGCTGACCCAGAATCCAAGTCAACACACATGCTGTCAGACACTGATCGATTAGTTCAAAAGATAAGAACGGGAAGGATGCCGACCACATGAGGTACTCACAGCAGATGGGATGGCGTGTGTTTTGTGATGTAGCCTGAAGGTGGGACACTTTAAATTGATTTAGCCTCTACATCTATTTCCTCTGCCGGCTATAAACAGAAACATAATTATTGACTGCTGGTGAGATTTGATGTTTAAAAGCATGTTGAGGCCAACAGACTCTTTCTGATGGGTTTTATAATATGGTTTTCCAAATTTAACACACATCCTCCTGCTTCTAGTCCAGTTTGGCTGATCCCGCACAGAACAAAACACCAGCACTGAGCTATATATACATGTAAATGCATGGGTTGTAGTAGCATTTTTGAAAAATGTACGTCTATACATGCTTTGTTCCTGTGATTGTATTGGTGCTCCCTGTGGCATTTGTTAAATGGTTCTTGACAAGGCCTCAAATAGCTTGTGCGTGTTAGTGGAACATATTTCATTGTGGTTTTTCCCAACCTGCTGCATGTTTTCCACGGTGGACTCCAGCTGCTCTCGTCTGGACAGCTCCTCCTCCCATCTGCAACACAGAGCACAGAGGTGGGTCAGTTACTGCTGGGCCCGATCCCCTGAGGGCCAACACACTGGTTCATGGTACCTTTGTGGGGATAATACTCCCAGCTCTGATTACAAAATGCCCTTGACAGTGTGGGTTCACGCCCACTTCCCCCCCCATTTACAATCTTTTGTCTATTTCCTTTGTACAGTCATCTTCAAAACCCCACTGACTCAAACAAAAACTATAGAGTGTAGATCCCTCCTTCTCCAAACACAGACATAGTTTTGTAACCTTTGAGTGACTACAGAGGGACATTTGAGCTTTAGCAAAACCAACAGGGTGGAGTATATCTGTATATCTGTATATCTGCTGCAGACTGAATTCCTTCAGACTAGCTGTTTCTCTCCTTATGCAGTCTCAGGAGTGAGTTACAAGATCTCAGTGATGACAATTGAAAGGAAATGTAAATATTTCGTCATTCTATTGACAAAGATAAAATCTACATGAATAGAGCTTAACGTGCTAACACTACCTACCATTGTGCTAAAGCTAAACCATTACCAATTACAATATTTACTAGACGATAAGGTAGACTGAATCTCTCATTACATTATACTGTAGTTGCCATTCAGGCAGATAAATCACCCTCAAAAGAGCAGCTCATATTATTGGATTCATTCATTTTAAATATAAAAAGTCCCAAGTTAGTCTACAGTCGTGCAAGCAACTCTGCGAGGCTGTACAGCAAGACTTTGAGCTAAAAGCTAATGCCACAATGACAATGCTATGACGCCGATGTTAACTATGTATGCCGTCTTAATTTAGCGTCTTAGGCATGAATGTCAAGGAGTAACAAAAAGGATTACATTTCATCAGGAACATGTCAATCATTCCAACAGAGATATTTTAGTCTGGATCAAAGTGGCGGACCAACTGTGAAAGCCACACTGCTAGCATGGCAAAAATGAGGTGCCAGAACCCCCGACCCATGTGCTGCGAGCTATAATTAGCATACCATTTTCTTTCCCTTTCCTGACAGGCTATATCACTCATCTGCACCATGGCAGCTATGTAAAAACAGAATTAGGAACGTCTATAATTGCCTTGCCGTACGTACTGTACACAAGTCACAGAACGCTGCATCGTTCAGTTCAGCACGCTCCTAATACACAGTCATCTTGTTCCCTTGGATATGAGGCATCAGGCATGCTGAGTCACAGACGCTTCCCAAAAGAGAGTTTAAGATTCAGAATGGAGGAGGAATTCATTCAGTAAAATGAAGTAGTCGCACAGTGTCAACCACCCATGTGAGGATGAGCCACCGTGGGACACATGATGAGGACAGTGGAGGATAACATGAGAGGGGGTTTCTGTGTGTGAGACTGGTGGGAAGATTTGTGTCTATATGTGTTAAGTGTAAAAGGGAAAGGTGACATCTGATGACCACTACTGCATTCTGGGACATCACATAGCCTTTACCATGGAGCTACACAAACAACAACATGCGTCACTAGAGATTCACTTTCTCAACAAAATGCAGCCTTGTTTCCATTCAGGACACACTGAATATATACTGTCTAATTAGGGAGAAGTATTCCTTGGCAGGGCGGGCCAGCTTGCACTGGGATTGAAGCCTTGTTCTAAAAATGCTGGCAGAGCTGCTTCACTGTGTCCACAACACTCTGCCTGTCTGCCGCAGGACTCTGGCTAAGGTCATTGGAGTTCATAACTGCATCACATCCTCTGCAGACAGGAATCCATTTGTGAAAGCATCTGCATCACTTGTGTTGTCACTTCCTGCAGAAACCACCACCCTTGTCTTCAATGCCGTGGGTGATAACTGGACAAGATGATTAAATCGACCTACTGATAGAGGGAAAGCCTCCCTTCGTCAACAATATGTCAAAGCCACTTATATCATCTATCAAAGGTAATAGAGTCATTGACAGAAGTAAGCAGCCACTGCTATTAGAGCAGCTACAATTCAGCAAACCATAAAAGTCTAATGGAAAACAACCGACTGTTCTCGAGCATCCATATTAAAATAGCTTATCCAAACAAAGATGGCAAAAGTATTCTGGCCTGTGACATAGCTGAGGTTCTGGTTCTCCTGTACCTTTGGTGTGACTCAGTCAAACGATCACACGCGGCGTCTCCTTACAAGGACAAAGACAGCAGGAGGGTTGGAGCCTGTGTCAACTCATAGACATCTGTTTACCGCCAGACACATCCTCTGTAATCTTGCTCTTATAAATCAAAAAATAACTGTGCGGTCTTACAGATGTGTTAATTCATTCTGCAAAGCACACTGAATGGAAAAGTCAGTGGTTTCCTTTCCTTTTGGGGGAAGCAGAAATAACCTTAAACAGATAGTAAGCAGATCCAAAATTGAATCAACATAACTATACTATCTAATTAACATTAGGATAATTAAAAGTCCTGCACAGAACAAATCATCTCTATTTTAACTTTGGGTTATGGGTTGGGTAATGTTTCCTCCTACTCAATCTAATAAGGGAATAGTTTTCTTCAGAGACGCATGATTAACTGCAGTAGCGCTTAAGCAGAATTGAAAAAAAATTGATGGAAGCAAAAAAAACTACATATTCTTTGATTAATGAAACATGGTGAATTAGGAGGTTAAAGAAATGCAACAATAATAAATACAGTGTCTTACACCAAACTGACATTTTCTCATACGTTTTTTGTCTATTGGACAATAGCATTCCTGCAGCACCTGCCAACGAACACTCCCTGCCTTGTGTGGTATGTCTGGGAGTTTGCACGCAGGCTGCCTCAATGGTTTCCCAACGCTGTGCCGGAGGACACATCCAAATCTTTTGTACTAATGTTCCTGTGCTTGATACTTTTTAATTACAGGGCTCATAGTGATATTTTCATGGCTTCCATAATTATTTAATATAAATGGTTGATTTATAGCCTCCAGATATAAAATCATAAAACATGATCACATTTTTATCGGATGTTCGAATGCAATAGGCGGTAAATACCAAAGGAGCTCAGCGAAAACGTTGAGGTGTGGTTGCATATCAATCCACAAAGCCTCTGTTGCTCATTGCAAATAAAAAAGTGAGTAGGACAACACCCTGTTTAAACTCTGCGATACTAGAGCGTGTTACTTGCTGTGTTGAATTTCTCAGTAACCATACATTACAAGCTCCAAAACTGATCCTATGCATTAAAGCCGATTCATCTTTAAACGTTAAGAAACCTTAATACACTACTTCTAATTTATTAAAATTCCCCCTCAAGATGCTGCCTCCTCAAACTATTTGATTTTAACAACTTTATGCTATCTAAATGTTATCATGTGATAACAAGTAACTGCACCTATAGGCTATACACCTACAACCGCATCTACAGCATCCAAAATAATCAGTATTTCAATCAACATATCTCTACTGCATTAGTTTATGCTAGGTGTACCTTTTTAACTGGCAGCTGTGTACATAAATTAAACTGTTGCTTGGCCATATTCCTGACAAACATCAAAAATAAATTCCGACATACACTCATAAATACCTGAAAATTAAATAACAGGTAATGTCTTTGTTATTTATAGATTAAACTGTGTATAAACCTTATTAGGTGATATAGGATTGTAATGTTTGGCCAAAATCAGAGGTTAGTGGAGTATACTGGAAACAAATTATGATCAGTTAAAGTCTATATGTATAAACATTATAATAATATAATTCAAATTACAAAGCTCTGTCAGTAGAGCCCTTATTAATTGTTAATTTTTGTGACACAAACGGTCAGGTGCATTTTCTAAAGCAAGGCCCCATAAAATAGAAAACGTCTAAACACTTTAATGAGATTTTAATAGGGCCATTACAATTCATTCTCATGAGGGCAGGCAATAGTAAAACAGGAAGTGTTATATGATAACAGATTGAAGGATCAATATATCTGGCTACATGCAGGACAAACATCCATTCAGCTGCTCGTATGAAATGAAGCCTCTGGCAGCTTTGACAAATCATATGTGAGAGTCCAGAGTGATTCAATTCCTCCCATGGATCCCATAGGTGCCTATAAAATGCCTTCTCCATGGCTCCAGCATTCCCCACCCTGTGTGCAATTATACGCCGCACAAGCCAACCCATGATTTACTCTCACAGCAGATTCTTCCAACAATTTTGGGGCGGATAGGAGGAGCATGATGGGAAGTAGCGTCTGCGGCACAAAGATCTGAAAGAGTAAGCAATGTAAGGTTTTCTTCAGAGATAAAAAAAGGGGGAGATATGTGTGTAGTAGGTCATCGATTGAACGCCCTGATGACTCCACAGAGACACAATGTGGCGTGCTAATGATGCAGCGATGTGAAATGGATCACGTTGAGGGTCTCTGCTGACGAGACAACCCACCAAGGTCAAAGCTCATTTCATTGCCCTGCTCCACCTCCTTCCATGACCTCTATTCATATTCATAACACAACCGCACACACACATTTATCCTCTATCTCCCCATCTTCTCAAGCCATCTTGTGACCATGGAAACCGTGTGATCGGAAGTGCATGCAGATGAGTTTCTGTCTCACTTAATCATGTAAACTGTGCACAGAGATCTTGACCTCACTGACGGACGATTCCTCTGCTTTATGTTTCACAGGCATGGGGAGACTTAAATATAGCCATCCCATCCCAGACACGACACAGACACCAGCAGGCCGAGCATGAGGTATGTTCATGTTGCTAAGTGACCGCAGACATTTTCCCAAGCCACCATTAACAGTGCCGCTTAGGGAGGGAGTAAATTATGCTAATAGCTAATAGACAGATTTTTGTGGTAATGTTGTATTGAATTCGTTTATATCCTGTTTCCAAGAGGAGAAGTTTAAATATGTGTGGTAACTTCATAGAGTACAAAAACATTTAAAATATATTTACAGAACATGTTCTACTCCTGAAAGAGGTAGGTATTGATCAATGTAATATTATAGGTAAAAAACCTTCTTTGCTTCCCAACTATCTTGCTTCTGAATGACGACTCGATTA